ATATATATATATAGGTACTACCGGTACATGTGGACCTCTCTCAGATTTGTTCATTTTGTGATGATATCTTCAATTCTCTAATTTTGGTGAATATTTTTGTAATTTTTGGTAAAAAGTGATATTTTCGACTTCTTCTTAAAAACCAAAAGTTCAATTGCTTTGATATTACATATATAGATACTACATGTAGACCTTTCTCAGATTTGTTCATTTCATGATGATATCTTCAATTCTCTAATTTTGGTGAATATTTTTGTCATTTTTGGTAGAAAGTGATATTTTCGACTTCTTGTTAAAAACTGCAAGTCCGATTGCTTTGATACTATACATATTGTTCATTTTCTAATGATGTCTTCAGTTCTTTAATTGAAATGTGCATTGCTAACAGCGGAGCTATCTCAGCCGATAGGCTGCTTGTTTTGAAATGAGTTCCTGTCATGCTATTGGTCAGAATGTTTTGAGATGAGCTGCTGTAATGCTATTGGTCAGAATGTTTTTTGAAATGAGTTCCTGTCATGCTATTGGACAGAATGTTTTTTGAGATGAGTTCCTGTCATGCTATTGATCAGAATGTTTTTTGAGATGAGTTCCTGTCATGCTATTGGTCAGAATGTTTTTGAGATGAGTTCCTGTCATGCTATTGGTCAGAATTCTGTTTTGAGATGAGTTCCTGTCATGCTATTGGTCAGAATTCTGTTTTGAGATGAGTTCCTGTCATGCTATTGGTCAGAATGTTTTTTGAATAAGTTACATGTAAAAACATTGTTTAAGCTGAAGGACAAGGTAGCATTAGTTTCACTATATTTTGTTTCAGAGTGATGTCAATGACTATGTAGATTGTAGTTGTAATCATTTATCCAACTATGCAGCCAGAGGTGAAACTGATAATCTAACCGGTTATAATGAATATATCTATGCATCTTGTTTTATTTGTATGGTAAGTATGCATTCATTCAATAGTCCACAAACACTGAGTCAATGCAAAACTACTGTAAAACATGTCTTTTTCGCGAGCATGTCTTTGGTGAATTTAGCGAGAGAACTCATTCGCTAATTCAAGATGTCGCTAATGACTTTATTATAAATTCAAAATCGCCATCAAACAATGTCTTTTTCCTCCACACACACTTTGTAAACAACACACAAAAAAAAAAAAAATAATGACATGATAGATACACTTTATTGAAAAGTAAATTAACACAAAAATAAAAAAGTATTCATTGTGGTAATTATTTCAATGAAAATAAAGAAATGAAGTGATACTGATATATTATTATGGAAATTAGTAGTACTTAGTAATTTTTGAGTCTCAAAATAAAAGGTCAATATTCTGGATGTAACGCAGCAAAGATACCCATTTTTTCCAATCCCTGTTGAATAATTTTTTTATCATTGCGAACGGAATCAAATTGTACTTTAATCAAATTATTTTTTGTTTTTATTGAGGTCATAACTGCATTTGTTTTGGCGTGCGACAAGTATTGTGAAAACAGGAAATCAATAATGACAAGAGAGATTCGCTAAATCAACATTTCGCTATTACGTCATTTTACCACAATTCGCTAAAATTGCATGTCGCTTTTTCAACATGTTTTACAGTATTTGCAAAATTGTACCTGATTGGCTACCCAACCTAACAGTCGGACCAATCAGAGAGTATCTTGTTTGTTGACAGATTCATTCAACTTATCTGCCTTGTATATATACTTTGACTCAACTGCAAACACAAGGCAACTGGAGATAGGTGACAGTCATGTCAGCAATAATCACACTTTCTAAGACTGACTTTTAATCCCATACTTTATTTGATGAGAAATGATTAATAGTTGCCGAGTCATCACATGCTGCACTGTGTTTGTTTGTGGGTTCTGTGATAAATACAAGCATGTAAAAAGCATTTTTCTTTAGAGGACATTTGAATGTATGCTGCGCCAAGACTGATCAGCCTGAAGTGTGGCGTAATGGTTGATCAGCATCCATGAGATTTGGGGTTACATTCCTGTGGGTTTCTATCATCTACATGAATATATATCCTCCTTATGAACCCCAACCTGTCTAGGCAGCTTTTTCTCTATAATACTGTAAAACATTGTTTGCTTGAAATAAATTTTCAATTATTTTTCGCTGATTCAATGATTATGTGAAAATAAAATACAGCGAAAACACTTTTTTTCTATATTTTACATTCAACTCCCCAAAATCAGTGAAAATAAATTTAATACAAAACACCCAAAAAGTCTTTTCAGCAAAAATTAATTCCAGCTAAAATAAAGTGTTTTACTGTAGATGCCCGAGGAGACTGCACACGATTGTTAGAATTCAAAATTTTGGAATTGATGGAGAGTTTGGAAACTAAACCCCCAGGGTAGTCATGACTAATTACCGTATGGTTCCTTACAAAACAGTAGTATTTTTAGCTAATCTTATTTTGTTATTGTTTTATTTTCTCAGATGGGTTTAGCACTTGCCATTCTAGCTCATCATATATGTTCCCTGGAAACTATGTTTGCAGCTAAGCTACTCATGCATATGTGCTTTGCATGCATATCTCTACAGGTATGTACATCATTATATCATGTATTATTATACATCTGTCACCGTAATGCCATAAATTACAGCATGCCGCAATTTTGCGGCATTTTACGGGGCATTTTCATTCTACCATACTAGGAAATGCGAATTCCTAATATGGAATGATTACACACATAAGCGTCCTCTAATAATAAAAACAAACATGGCTGCCACCAGAGTTTGACCGAACTCCACACAAAGAAGTTCACTGATTCTGTCTAAACATTTTGAATTTCGGCATTCCCATGGTGTATCCTTGGGGACGAAAAGATGTATAATAATAAGGTTATCACGAAAATACCTCAAAGTATGCACTCTACAGTACGCCATGCATCGACCTCCACTGCACGTTGGCCGATACTCCAGCTATACTGTCTTCGTGATCACTTTGAGGTATTCTCGTAATAACCTTATATTATATAATGTTATTTACATTATGAAATCACTATTTGGTGATTGTAAGACGTTACAGAATAAAAAACAACTTACAGTGAGAAAGTCAAGGAAATCTCATGGCCTGTTTTAATTGCTTTAATCATAAAATAAAATGATTCATAAAATGAACCAGATTCTCACAGAATTTTACAACAAGTTTCTACTAATTTGATGATATGGCTGTGTAGGTTTATTTCATTTAAAAATTCACTAAAATATGTTGTGTTGTTTTGTATTTTCTCAGATTGTCTTTGTGATTAATGCATATGTTAGTAATCGTATATCTGCCAGTGGTTGTTCAGCGATAGCTACAGTCATGCATTATTTCTTCTTGGCACAGTTTTCATGGATGTTTGTACAGGTAAGTTTTAACATTCATCTGTATAATTATAAATCATAATCATAAAATTTACACTACAAAGAATTGTATGGTAACAATCAGAGACAAACCCTAGCCATTTCAGTTCTTATTCAAATGAAAGATTTGTATCTCTACAATGTGAAAGTCACTAAATTATTGTATCATTCAAAATGACTTGTTCCACAAACTTTCTTTCACTTGTGTTTATCTCATGATTTCCAATGATTACCATATTTACTCTATTAGAAGTGTCTCTAATAGAAGTATATATAAACCAATATGTATCTTATCCTGGATTATTCAAATATAACTTATTTTGACGATAGACACCTGTCATTTATGTGTATATTAAAAGTACATGCACTACTGTAAAATCTGTATTGGAAACCATGTTACAAAATGGTACAATGCAACAGAGGGGATGCAGCTTCTATTAAAGCACCAACACACATGAGAAATGGGGCATTTTTGGTTTTCAATTTATCAAAAAGAAGGGAATGGCTTCTATTAGGGATGCGGCTTCTACTACAGATTTTACGGTACTACCGATAATGGAGCAACATAGTTGTTTACCCTTATCTATTATTGACTTTATAATTTCATGTCTTACATTTTTGTTGCAGGCCATCAATTTGTGGAAAGTTCTTGTAATGAATGATGAACACACAGAGAGATACTATGTATTATTTTTCATGTTAGGGTGGGGTAAGTTATCACTTCTTTAGTTTTTAACCCAAACTCTACTTTTGTCACAATTCACAAATTTTAAATCCACATCATATTTTAGCTCCGCTGTCGAGCAGAGCTTATCATATGAGTGATTGACTTCTTCTTGAAAACTACAAGCCTGAATGCTTTTATACTTGGTGTATATGTACCTTGGGTAGACCTCTCTCAGATTTGTTCATTTCATGATGATATCTTCAATTCTCTAATTTTGGTGAATATTTTTGTCATTTCTCAGTAATGTTGTAATATCAGAGTTGGCACTATAAACTATTCAGGTCTATTTCAAAAGTAGGTGTGACCTACCATGCATGTTGATATTTACGTCATCTATACAGCATTTGGATGGCTATATACCGTATTGTCTTAGCACATGTTGATATTTACGTCATCTATACAGCATTTGGATGGCTATATACCGTATTGTCTTAGCACAACTTAACATTCAGCTAGCTTAGGTTACTTTCAACATGTATCTAAATTTTGCAAAGTAATCTGCCTAAATATATCTTGTATTAGTAACTTAGTATTAGCAAAAACTATGAAGAATAAGTTGAAATTATTGATGAAAAGGATACTTATTTTTATCATTGCAAGTTTTCCTGAAAGGACAAAGCTACATGTAGCTGATAGCTGGCTTAGAAGTTAACTTATGCTCAGATTTTACTGTATAACCATAGTTAATGATATACAATGTCTGTTTCATTACTAGGTGTACCTGCCGTACTTGTTGTTATTTACGTTGTAGTACTCTATGCGGCCTTTGGATGGCCATATATGCTGGACCCAGCTGATATCAATCCTTATAACCCTGAGGTGATCTATGGTGATGTACACCAGAATGGTGATATGTAAGCAGTTTTCCACTTTTCAGAATACAATGTGATAATAATAATGAAATAGACCGATCTAACTTGTGTTATCACATCCTCAGAGAACTCAGCTGAGCATACTGTAAAACCATTTATTTTTACTGGCATTTAATTTTACTATTTTGATGTTGTGAGCAATTTCACTGGGTTTTAGGTTCACAAATTCAGCAGCACAACAATGAGTTCTATTGTTATTTTACATGTTCATGTGGATTTAAAATAGCAAAATTAAAAACCAGCGCCTTATTCTGTCCACGGGATAAGGACTGATTCTCTTCACATGATTTCAACCACAGCTTGGTTCAGTTTGCATTTTCACATAAGTGAAAAGTTCATGTGGAGAAATAGAATATAGAAGAACATTCTGATTTGTGTTTGAATATTATGAAGCCTAGGAGTCGTGGATAATTAAAATATGTTAAGAGCAAACACTTTGTTTACAGGGTGGGAGGGATGAAGGTGATTTCACTGAGTTTTTCAACCACCCGACTTTCTCGCCCAAATTTTTCTGCCCTTTTTTCTCATATTCTTCAATATTTCTAGTAATGAATCCTAATTTTGGAGCCAACAGTCAAAATTTGAGTCAATTTTCAGTTTTTACTCAACAAATTTGGCTGTTTTTGTCCCAAGGAAAGTGCAGGCTATAAACAGGACTATTTTGTGAATTTCTGCTAAAAAGAGGGAGCTGGTGGTGAAAAGTTTAATGTTTGTATCATCTTTTTTAACTTTGCAAACTTTTGTTTAGAAAAAGGGGTGGAATATTAAAAAATTAGTTTTGGTGTGTGTATGTTTTAACTATCAGTGACTGTTTAGATACAAACTCATTGGTGAAGGGTACGAAATTGGCAATGTCATAACAGCTGGAATGTAGAAAATAGAGAAATTCTGACAATCACTGACACAATTATGAATACAGTACCGGTAATCAGTTTGATTCGCATCAGTGAAAATCTTCTGCTTTCGACTGTTTCCATGGTAACACCTTCCATACTCGCATGCATCATCAATTTCTTGATGAGCTAGAGTTTGTATGTGTTTCTTCGTACTCATCCTGATCTATTAGTAGGAACACGTAATTTACGCATCAGTTGTGTTGTCTTTCTTTCCAGATGTTTCATCCCAAATGCTTATGCATCGCTGGCTGGAGTCATAGCACCAACTTTCATGTTCCTTTTCTTTGTGGCCGTTGTGTTCATGCAAGCATACCAGGTTACACCGCAATGGAAGCAGTATGACGATGTGTATGTCGGTAGATATAATACAGCAGGTATGTAGAAAATATCACATACACAATATACCCAAGCGACATTTGCTGCCTTAACTAATGAACTCTAATTTATGTGGTGTCTAGTGTAACATGCAGTGTTTGTTCCTCTATCCATATTGATATGATAACAGTATCTTGACATATTACAAAAACTGTTTCTGATGACAGCTCATGTATCACCTCCTATCATACTTTAGGGGTTATTTGCAGCAAACAATTAGGAATATGCACATAATTAGAATATTCACTGGCTGTTTTAAAGTAAACAAGAGGACATCTCACTGACTCCACTTTTAACATGTTTTTTTTTTTGTGTGAAAACAAGTCAAATTTTAAGTCAAGTTGGAACATCACTTTCATTGTCAATATATCCACAATGATCACATATGTTACTACAAAGTAATCATCACTGGGAAAGTAGCAGAAATGTGAAGTTATCATTAGTGTTACGCTTTAGGTGCCTTTGATAATAATAACCAGGTTAAAAAAATAGCAAGGGGTCAAATGATATTATTAAGTGTTAATAGAATATCACAAAATATTGCTGTCACTAAATCCATTCATGTTGTTTATAGTGCATATCACATTTAATGTTTATTTCAGAGGTCCGAATCTTACTGTTCTTCTGGTTTATAATTTTTATGACGTGGATATGGGGTGGACTGCACATGGCATTAGGTGAACTTTGGGCACTTATTCTGTTTTGCATATTCAATATTATTCAGGTAAGTTTTATTCCAATTTTGAAAAATTAATGATCAATTCTTGACAAACCATCACTCTATTTGATCCAAGATGTCAAATCGGGAAATTGGTGTGTTGCTTTGTAAGGGATCATATTCAAATCTGACCAATCAGTATGTTGCTTTCTGAGTGGTCATATTCAAATCTGACCAATCAGTATGTTGCTTTTTGAGTGGTCATATTCAAATCTGACCAATCAGTATGTTGCTTTCTGAGTGGTCATATTCAAATCTGACCAATCAGTATGTTGCTTTCTGAGTGATCATATTCAAATCTGACCAATCAGTATGTTGCTTTTTGAGTGGTCATATTCAAATCTGACCAATCAGTATGTTGCTTTTTGAGTGGTCATATTCAAATCTGACCAATCAGTATGTTGCTTTCTGAGTGGTCATATTCAAATCTGACCAATCAGTATGTTGCTTTTTGAGTGGTCATATTCAAATCTGACCAATCAGTATGTTGCTTTCTGAGTGGTCATATTCAAATCTGACCAATCAGTATGTTGCTTTCTGAGTGATCATATTCAAATCTGACCAATCAGTATGTTGCTTTTTGAGTGGTCATATTCAAATCTGACCAATCAGTATGTTGCTTTTTGAGTGGTCATATTCAAATCTGACCAATCAGTATGTTGCTTTCTGAGTGGTCATATTCAAATCTAAACAATCAGTATGCTGCTTTCTGAGTGGTCATATTCAAATTTGGCCCATCAAGGTGTTGCTTTCTGAGATTAATATAACATAATTCTTATTGGTAATGGAAATTGTGTGTGCATGTTTGACTTTTCTATTCCTTCTGCAGTATTCTGAAACAATTTCTTTCAATTTGTATTCACTTATCAGGGATTATATGCATTTATTGTGTATACCATTTTACGAAATCAACTTTGTCGACCGGCAAAAGGGCAGTATTCTTTAAATAACACGATAGCAGAGTCTGTGCAGATGGAGAATCAGAATTACACTCACAGCAGATCTGTCACCAGCACTGTTGAAAAAGGTTCTAAAGGAACGCTTGGAGTGGTGCCTGTCCCGTTGACAGTTCCAAATACAGAGGTAGGTTTTCACTAAATTTGGAGTAATATATATATATATGAGATTTGAGGGATATCTGAATAATGTACAAGGTTTCCATAGTTTCATTGTAGTCATTTTTATGTTACTATAAACTTTTTCAGCTATAAATGGTTGCTATTTGATGATTTTAAAGTGTTAGTCCTATGCAACATATATAAAGCATGCAAAGTACTTTGTTTGTTTACACAAGGTTTGAAATACATGCTGCACCATAAAAGTAGTCACAGAGATGACTTTTTCGCTGTGACTCCTTTGTCTTATTGATTCTAGTGCTACAAAACTTGATTACTGTAAAAGAACTTTCCTTTCACTTTAAATTAATTTTTACTGAAGAGATGAATCGGAAAATGAGTCCAGTGATATACCTTCTTCTCTATATGTTGCATTCAACTCAGTAAACTCAAAATAAGCTTAAAGCAGGAGGGTGGTCACCTGCGCACCTCCGGGAATTGAGTCCCAAGCGATGATAACAACACACGCTATAACACAAAGGCTCATTGGTGGACGCTTGTTTGTAAACAATGACACGTGATGGCTATCTGGCGCATGCGCAGGTGTCATCTCCCACCGCTTTAATGAAACAGAAATTTGCAAAAATTTGTTACGTAAAAAAACATAGCAATTTTATTGTTATTGTAGTTATTTTACCTTTTTGAAATTAATGTATTCTTCTCTGTTTGCCCAATGTTGGAAATTATTCATATCTTGTGTGTTTTTATTGCAGATAAACAATTGGGAAAAGGCTTCAGGTACACACAGTCGTCATAGCGACATCTATGCCGGTAAACAGCCATCTTCACACACCAGTAATATCTATGCTCCTATGCCATATGCAAACAACCTAGCACCTCAAGATGAACCTGACTCACAAGAATTTGATGACTTAATCTTTGCACTGAAGACAGGGACAACTTATAGTCCAAGTGAGGATGATGGCCTGTCAGAGCGTGCACGGTCGTCTCATTTAGGAGATGTCACCGATGGAACACGAAGTACTGAGCAACTGGTACAAGACATGTCAGGAGATGCAGACGATCATTATGAACTAAGAAGAATATCTATTGCAGACACCCATCTTTAACCAAGAACCCCTCAAATGTAATAGTTTAGTCCAGAGTTTTGTATTGTATATATAGAACATGGACTTGCCCACTCAACAGGTGGGTGAGGCTTGTTCTTATTTTTGTATGAATTTTTTGATATTTTGTACAGAAGATGTTTTAACACTGCAATATCGAGCAATAATTTTTTTACGGGGATGAGAAAGTATAGTACTGTTTCTGAGACATATCAAGTACGAGAATCTGAAATCTTTTCAAATGCTTTGTACAAATAATTATAATAATGTTGACACTAACAACCTGAACTTTATTATTAAGTTTCTGGTTGTTTTTTCGTTGTTTTTGGACATGTTTTTAAATTAATATCTGGAATTTTGTTTTTTTTGATAGTATTTTTGTCAGGATGTGTGTTACACAGATTTGTTCAGTGCGCCTTCTGCAGTCTTTGCTCTGGCTGTCACTAGAGGGTGCATTACTCTCTAATTGTGAGATTATTTCAAAGAATATTCTGGTTCATTACATTTATAGTGCGACAATTGGATAAGTGTTTACATAAATAATTATCGTGGCTACTCATTGATTTTTTTTATTTTCAATGTCTTCTAAAAGCTGTTCTTCCATTACTGTATCATTTTTACTTGAATGTCTAAAAATAAAAACAAAGAGTTGTCATTCTCTGTTGTGGCTGTGATGTGCCAGTTTAAGATGGTATGCAGTGTATATATGCAAAGTGAAAACTAATTTATATGGGTTTTATAAATTCTAATATAATTAACTTATAAATGTAAGAATAACATTCATGGTTACAGAAAAAATATCCCTCCATTTTAAGATTATTTATCCAGTGCAAGACGAACAATTTTGAGTCGTTTTGTCACAAAATGGTGTTTTTTAGACAGGATTAATTTAATGTGTTTCATATTTTATGGTTGTAGGCTGCTACAGAAAATGTTGACACTCAAGACATAATTTTAACCAGGGATAATTAGTTAAAAAGGGTTTCACATCTAGTGTCCAACCATGATCTATCTATATATTATGCTTTATCATTTATTCCAAAAAAACAAAAAATCTTTAAAAAACCAAATCATAACAAGGATCAAAGGCGGTGAGTGATTGTGGTGTTTATCATACTTTGATTACTTGCATTGTACTGGAAGACTTGTACATCATACCAGACGGATATGGAGCAAAGAATGATTTGTAATACAATTGAGAACAGCCATTTATTAGTGTGTCAGTAGTACTGTATGTAGCGTCTATTTGAAACTTACAAGCAGTGTTACTCAATTATAAGAAGTTTGTTTGCAGGGATGACATAATTTAATGCACAAATATTATAGATATGTTTTTTTGTGACAAAACAATGCTTTTATGAAATTAATTCTTATTTTTATGAATCCTGATAAAAAATATGCAGTTTGTGTGAATGTGCATGCACTTTTTAAACAAGTTACTTTGAAATGCTTCGAAATTGAGTGTTTTGTGAATGTCTTATTTTATTTATTTATTGCTGTGAGCTGTTTTATAACTTTCGGGTCAAAAATCTTTGGGGGTGGACGAGTGTAGTAGTTATTATAGGGGGGATGTTATTTTGCTAATTTTTTAATGCAAACTTTTTGTCATGTACTTCCAAATTGTTATTCATTCGCTTCATTCCCCTATCAACAGAAAACTATCGTGAAATGTACAAACCAGAGTTGTGAGTTCATATATATATAGTTATACAAGTATGGGTCTACGAAGGTTATTTGTGTATATATTTTGGGACAATTTTTAAATCATAATGGTAATCAGTCTGAAGATAAAAATGTAATTTTTACATGTTCACAAAAATTGAAAATAAAATGAGCATTTGTAATATAAAATTATACATATGTACTGTGTCTGTGTCTGTGTCCTGCACCTTATCACCACCATAACCTGTCACCATTCAGAACGTAGACACCAATACGATTGCAATCGGTATCGATGAATGTTGTATTCCTTGATGATACATAATTGTAGTGTTTGATGTTATGTAAATAAATTTGGCATACAATTAGTACTAGGATTTTTGAGTTGTAAATTGGGTTTTTCGTTTTGTTACAGTGGAATATACAGGTTTACTGGATCTTATATCATCGTGTTGACTGTATGCTGATTAGAAATATTACATAGACAGAACAGGGGTTTTAGATACACGCAGATTATCATACAATTTATTACCCTGTGATTCTAGTAAGACGAGATACGTGTAGGTTATCATACAATTTATTACCCTGTGATTCTAGTAAGACGAGATACGTGTAGGTTATCATACAATTTATTACCCTGTAATTCTAGTAAGACGTGATACGTGTAGGTTATCATACAATTTATTACCACGTGATTCTAGTAAGACGAGATGCGTGTAGGTTATCATACAATTTATTGCCATGTGATTCTAGTAAGACGAGATACGTGTAGGTTATCATACAATTTATTACCACGTGATTCTAGTAAGACGAGATACGTGTAGGTTATCATACAATTTATTACCACGTGATTCTAGTAAGACGAGATACGTGTAGGTTATCATACAATTTATTACCATGTGATTCTAGTATAAAGACGGGATACACAAACAATGCAATTTTGGTTTTTAAATTACTTTATTACATTTTATATCACATTATAAATGTGTTCTGTTTTTACGGTTGTGGCATAGATATTTTTCTTTTTATTAACTTTGATGAAAATTATGTGTTCATTAGAGTTAGGTGTAAATGAATACATCACGTATTACGGAATAATTGAAACGTAGACATGTTCATTTACGTACCTACGGACGCACACGCACGCGCACGTCCGAACGCACGCACACACACGCACGCAATCAGGCACACGTGATGTATACATACAATGTATAAATATGCTAATATATGTTTCCACGAAATAGTGAAAATGCGTGCTTCGAGGTTCGTTTTATATTTACCACTACACTGTATTTATATAAACAAAAAAGTATGAGTGTGTATTGTTGTCCGGGTGCATTGGATCCACTTTTCCTCTGTAATTAGCCAAACACACCCAGTTTGATCTCGTAGAATTAGGGTGTGTTCCCAATAATATCGGGGTTAGGAGATATGATGAACTGCAGAGAACGCCTTTGTACGCCGGAAACCTGCTCAGAAAGAAGCCATGCACACAACGCAAAGATCCATGCCCAAATGCCAATAACGACAACAATGCAAGTTTCTCTGGCATTTTCTTTACACATCACTAACAAAAGAACGGAATCAACTGGATTTGTTTACAAGTCTGTACCAATGACATCAACGCTTTCTTGCCTGGAGGAGAATTATTTAAGACAAGTCTGGGCGTTTTCTGAGCTCCATGGCAACACGCGATTCTTCGGGGCGTCCTTAAACGAGCCTTTGTTCTTTTAAAGCTGCCCTAAGTCCCTCGTAACATCAATCAACTATCCCCAATACGCCTTCTAATGTAAGTAACGCTTGTTGGATTCTTTAATTCGATGTTTTTCTTCGTCCGAGGAGTAGTGCTTAAGAGTGGTTTGTGTTTGTCGGGATGTCTGTAGCCGAGAACTCCAAAGGAAATGCGCAGGTTGATGCAAAAGCTGCGACAGACGGTCCAGTGAGGCGAATATCTTCTGTTCAGGAACCTGGCAAGCTAGGAGCGGGACATGTAATCCGAAAGGTTTCTACGGTCCAAATGGTGGATCCAAAGGACAGTCATCAAGGCACGCTTATAACGACCGCGAATTCGTCGGGCTGCGATGAGAGCGAAACGGGTTCCACAAGAACGGGTGGAACAGCTTTGTCCGCTTTCCGTAAGAATGTCCGCAAGATGTCAATGTGGGGGATGGCGGGACGTATTATGACAGGGCAAGAAAAGCCGAGACAAAAACCGCAAGTAAAACTGGAACCGACTTATAAAATGTCTCCCGATCAACGTCGAAGATTCGATTCGTCGAGGGTGGAGAGAATGCTGAATAACGTGCTAAATGCGCAATTGTCCAATGAAACATATGACCCTGTTGTGTCGACAAGGTTGGCTTCCAGAATTTCCGATATCATCAAGAATAAAACAAAAATGATGGGATTTGATCGTCATAAAATTATATCTCACGTTATTATAGGAAACATGTTTGACCAAGGCACCGAAGTCTGTAGTCGCTGCCTCTGGGACGACCACAACGATAACTATGCTTCTGCGTATTTTCGAAACGGTTCGTTGTTTGCTGTCGCCACGATTTATGGCGTGTATTTTGAATAATCACACTTTATAGAATCAAACTTTACTTCATTTACTTTTACTAAACTAAAGGGAAGTTGTGATTTGTCCGCGAACTTCACGCGACTGTGCACCTGTCATAATCACGGTCATCTCCGTAAATACCAATACGTCGAAATGCAACCTGTCTTGTTAATTTATTTACGATCAGTAGAGATCGATCCAAGACAACTTAATGCAGGCGTTTCACAAGCCAACGACAGGATTGAACACTTATATGGTTATATGGTCAAATGTCAACGATGCGTGAAATTCGCTTATTTGTACAAGGTGTACAGGTGTCTCGAGGCAAGTAAACGATTTCAATGACGGACAAATGCACAAAGCCTCGGGGGAAGAACGTCAAGTTCTCGACGCAGGATGTCAGCGTATTGTATTGTCGCGGTGCATTAATCATCGCGACGTCAGCGAATAGCCGTCCAAACTTGAAGTAATGTATTATACAAATGTGTGTAGACATGTCTCTGACTTTTCAAAACAGATTACTAGAATTCATGTATATAAATTAATTTCGAGATATTTGATGATAATTCATAATAATAAAGTATACTTTTCAGTCTGGGTTCGTGTAAGAATAGTTCGGTCCGGCATGATGGCAATATAGTTGCAATACATAATAGGGGTTTTGTTTGGGTGTTGTCGGAGACTTCGTTATGGAATATTCATGGTTGATTGGAGCTGATAGCACCTACTAATTTTATCTCATGGATATCATATCTTAGAGTACTTTGTTAGTGTATTGGATATATTGGTCATCTTCGTAATATTTAGTATTGAACTAATTGGTTCCTTTAATCCCAATACTTTAAAACCGGATACAACGATAGTTACGCAACGTACGTGAATAGAGAATGATGGTGGAAGAAGTCAAGCATACATACTGAAATTATTCTATTGAAATTCAAAGCAAAAATGTAAAAAGAGCTTGCTGTCTATTTCAAAAACCTTACAACACAATTTACAATGAGAATTATAATATTCAACAAATTCTGTTTCCATGTAAGACAATGATTAGTAAGTATTATTGTTTTTACCCTATGTTTAAAAGCCAGATTTGAAATATAACACAATCTGTCAACAAAAAGTACCCGTCAGTCACCGTATGACTGTTTTCATTCTGTTACCACGCACGAATTTGAAATAGGAATGTCGTTACCATAGCAGCTAATGTTAAGAAGACAAAACGATTGCCATTACTGTATTTACAGTATAACGAGCATAAGATAGAATACATGCTGGCCAACAATTTGTAGCCGTGTATTGGATCTGAAGACAACATAAACAATTTTGAGAAATTCTCATGTATGAGACGACTTGATATGGTCCGATATTACCACTGTATGCTGACTGCATGTATGCATGCAGATGTGTACGCCGTGTGCTAGTTTAGTTTGTTTGGTATAGGTGCATAATTTGTCCACTTTGACGTAATCTTATGTGTATATGCATTGGATTGTAATATATCGGAAATCGGAAAGGGGGCTTTCCATTTGATGTCACAGGATTTCGATGTTTGTGGTCGACCTGGTTACGTTATGTCGTCATACATATTCATAAGTTGGTTAGTCGCCCACCTGTACATGTTGTAATAGAAACACGAGTCTGAAACACGTGTACACGATCAGTAGAACTTGAACGTGAACGCGAAAAGTGTAACTTACGTTTGTAAGCCGGATATCGTCGTTCTCTTGTGTCACGCAACTTGAATCGTTCAGATATGGAACAACACGATGATCACGGCCTGGGACAAGTTTTAACCAGGGCATTGGAACGCAAATGAGATTATATTCAGGAATAGACATGAAAAACTATTTCAGGTGGGATGTTTACATAGTATTTGACGAGAGTCGATCGAAACCCCGTTTAACTCGGGTATTAGAATGGTGCAATGTCTTTTTTTTTCATTTCACTTTATTTTTCTTCTGCTTTTGAGATTGTTTCTCTCCTAAATTTCTTAATTGAATTCATATAATAGCTATGGCAGTAAACAGCGCTGTTCTTTCAGATAACATTCTATAGCAAGTGGTACGACATAAAAGGACAGTACTTGACATGATTTTCGTCAATTGTTCAGTTTTGTCTAAATTCAATGTTGTTATGTGTTTGGTATTTGTGACGAAAATTGATGTTCCAATGCTCTTTTCGAAGGCTGGCCTGCACTTTAATAATAATAATATTAATAAGTATACCGTGAGAATTGCTATTCGCTGCCGATCTTTCACTGACCCATGTGTGTTTTTCCATGTACCAACGGCGTCTTCAATTGTAAATAACTGTTTTATTTGCCATAACGCGAAAAAGCTTATCACGGATTAATGGTTAAAATGATCTTTTGTCCGAACTCTTTTTCTTGTATTCTGCATCGAATTTAATCCCCTGTTCAAACACCACGCATGCCTCCGGAACGATCCTCATTAATAGGTGATTTTCCGAACAATTGCGAGATCTCGCGAGATGCATGAAAGACGCGCGTCGAACGTCTGCTGCAAAAATCGAACGATTTGATTTTGAACTAGAATTTCTTTATTTCGCAGCTTACATTGACCGGCCGATCTTCGACAGAGGAATATTGCTTCCGAATACCCTCACGTAATCGAAATTGCCTATCATCAAATGTGGACAGCACATTATTAAGCATGGAAGTGTCCCCGAAATACTTTCGCGTTTGTCGAATCCCACGCGATGTTTGACGCGACTACGACGCTATGACCTTTGTTTGTCCTGTTTTTACGTTCGATTTCACGCATAACGCGTGATTCTCGCAGTGAACGGGAAATGGTCTATTGGGATGGAAAAGACTGTGTCTATGTTTTTATACGAGAAAAACTAACATTATAGATTTGTTGGGAGTTAATACCCCCGATAACAAACCGTTTTATTCGTCGGAGCAAGTCGGTATCTTATTATGTATACAATATATTGTGGATATTAGTTGCCCAATGTAGCCGTGGATGCCTGATATGATGGCATGATGATGACAATACGAACCATAATCTCATAATATGCTTTGTAAATGAAAGTGTCCAATTGACAGTATACCTTAAAACGATTATACCAATTATATTTCGAGCAAACAAATCTCTATTTTTCATTTAAAAAAAAAACAATCAACAACAAAAAAGGGAAATACAGCGTGACATACATTCGTTTCTGGTCTTTTAACTGTAGTTTTTACAATATTTTATTTAAAAAAACATGCTTTACAATTCACGAGCTGAACGCTTCCATTATAACAATCGTTAAATACAATGGGATTTATCCACTACAATGGGGTAATTGGATGCACCTGGTGTAATTGTCCGTAAAACTGTTGTCCTCGTCTTGGGGTTTAAAAGATTACGTGATTTATTCTATATATGAGGGGTAACAGATCAAATTGGCCCCTCCCACGCTTCTATGGCAATCGTATGGAATTCTTCCGCAGTATGCACAGGACAAGGGTGCCTAAGTTATATTGAAAACCACGTGTTTCTTCTGACAGTTCATTTATCCCTGTTCATATCTAAAAAAACGTCGCAACTTAATTGATTTCAATACAGGGCGTAGATACATAAAGTACAAGTTAGAATGCGTCCACTGATGCTCACATTTAATTACACTACAATTTAAATAAATATAGAAAGTACCCATTTGAATGGAAAATAGACGCCATAGCCTCGTAACTTCGTCGTTAATAATTCAATATACCTTACGTTATAAACTATATGGTTTCAATTCGTCAATACGAGATTTTTTTATTTTTTCTGCTTTTGCGAACTACTTTATGTTATTGATAATGCATAGCATTAAAAGCATAATATAGGAAACATAATATTGGACGAACTTGTGTAATTATATGCCCACTCGTATCAAATGTGTACACAATATTTATCTTAACGTGAATTATCAAAACTACTAGTATCTTTTTTAGTAAAACACAATTTTAAGATGTGCTACATTTTTATTATTGTATTTTGTTTTTTGAATTTATGTATATGTATATTTATTTTACTATTTGTATTTGACGCTTCTTCTGAACTTCTGATTTTTGTCCCGCCTGCGCACGCACAGGAATTGAGTCCCAAGCGACGATAACAACACACGCTAAAACGCAAAGGCTCACTAAGGCTTACTAAGTAAGTGACATGGCGTCTAATATCTAACCCCCAAGCACGCAATCAAAGATGTGTGTGTATTATATAAAGCTTGCATTCGAAAAACGCCATGTGACGGGCGTGCTGATTTATCGTATATGTAAACTTAGTTTGTAAGCACCATGGAAACCGCCCTACTAAAAGTTGAAGGAACATGAATGCAAAAGGTGACAGTCATTCAATAGAACACAATTACTTAGTGATTGCAGCAGCCTCCGGGCGTTATCATTCAAGATGATCCTCGGAACAACATAGGTCGTGATCTGTTGAACCACCGAGGGCGTTTTCACCACTCAATGAAATGAACAAAGCAAGAATTCAGGCTCAACCTCAACGTTGCTGATGAGCTTAAGACGATAATTTGTTTAATACAAAAATGCGTAAGATTCGTGTTCAGCTCAAAATCATTCACACTGCGTGGTATCAGTCTATATGACAATATTTAAAAAACAAATTACAGACAAGCCAAATAAAGTTGTTCGATTCATTTTGTAATATGTCAAAAATAGAGTTACATGATCATGTATTCATTATCAAGAATGAAAAAGACCCTAAATATTAAAAAAATAATTTCAATAACATCCTTGCCTACAACACAAGAGGTAATAATACTAATTTGTGTACTGTAAATTAAAGGCGAATACTAGGACTTTCCTCTATTATGCCATATCTGATATTAGCTAAAAATAAAAATAAATGTAACTGACAACTCATTTTAAAAACTTGGAAACTGTGAAAACAATTCTTGCTGAACAAGATACAATTAAATAAATTACAACTTTAAAATGTACTTAAATTGTAATATGTAAATTTCGAATCAATCAATAAATGCAAATATTGTTAAAAAATTGTACATTTTGTTGTAATGAGTAGTGACTTTTGAAGACTCCAATGGAAACTTTCGTGAGCTTAAATATGCACATTACTATATTTTATTGTCTGGAGATGATAATACATTAAACTGTACTCAAAACTGATCTGAATACATGAGGTTTTTACCGTGCCGACTCGGATGAGGGCGTTTTCAACTTTCAACGAGATTATCCAAGCAAGAAACCATACCTTCCATGGTTCAACCCTGCCGTTGTTGACCTAAATAACGAAGGTCACTATTTGCCATGCCGATGAGGGCGTTCACACCCCCCCCCCCCTCAATGAAATCTTGGTGCATTCGATTTGCACGATGATTTGTTTGACTATAGAGTCTGTGGTTTGGAGTCATTCCCGAAACACGTAATCATTATCATGATCGGAGTTAGAAATCACACGAAATTAACAAAAAGTATGATATCAGAAACAATGTTTGCAAGCCGCTACCTGGAAAATTACAAACTTTCTGAAAACTTTCAGTTTGCATCACATCATTGTGACGAAATATTTCTTACACTAGATACCAGCCGATACCCCCACCCCCCCCCGCTCATATGGAGTGCGTACAGTTGATCATAGTTCTTTGGCTCCTTGGTCCACTACTTTGTTTAGTAATTTGTAATTTCGTTAAAAGAGATTAAAAATAAGAAGTCACGTCACAGTCCATGGGCTATATCATTTGTTGAGGGGAAGCAGCTTACTAGTAGGATTGTGCACTCTAACACACAACCCATGGACCTAAAGTATTCGGGCAAGCGAAAAAAAACGACTATCAGAAAAATATATATTCATGTTCTTCACTTTTTTGGAGACATAATCATGGTTTTCATCTTTTCCTAATTATTACCCCCTTAAAACCAGCAACATGGGTTTCGCCAATCGCGCAACAATAAAATAACTTGAGACTAAAACCAAGAAGAGAGATTTGAAAGGACTTGGAGAGGAGATAGCGAAGAGAAGACGTAGTCACAGTCCCTCTGTCATAGTTGTGACTTTACGAACAGAGAGACCGCTTTGAAAATAACAATATTGATAGTTAAAATGTAATAGTTTGTTATGATAAGCTGATATCAATATTACCACTGTGTTAGCAAAACAATTAGCTATATTGTAATACTGCTGATAGGGTTGCTGCTTCGGTCACAGTAAATTATCTTGCCCATTCTTGGGGTCAGACTACGAGGGGGTGCCGACAAAGAAGTGTAAATAATAACCTATCCTGCTTCGTGTGAGATCTCGCGACACTGTTGCTAGTCACGTGATACAGGTCAAGCTTTAATTCAAAATGGCGCTAAATCTTGAGTGTGCTCAGTTTCTTGCGTTAAATTTCCGAGTGAGTTCTTGTATCTGTTTAGCGTTTTCGACCATGGCTGACGTCAATAAAATGACGGTGCCACAACTTAACAACTTCCTGCGTAAATTCGGTGTTTCATCGTCCAACTATAACAAGAATATTCTTCTTGCAATCGCTAAAACTTTGCATGATTTGGAACCCAAGGAAGACCATGATTTGTTACACCACTACCCTAAAAACGATGTCGCTACAAGACTTAGCAAACTTGGTTGCAATTTCACCGATCCTTTTAAATTACCTGGTTATTCTAGTTATTTCAGTAATGTTCCAGAATTCGGCTTGTCCGACGTGTTCAACTATTTAATGTGTCATCGACCCGATTATGACCGGAAGAAGCTTAGGGCCTACAAATCGTTCGAAGATTTCAAATTATGTTTCGACGGGCATGTGGTTGACCTGCAGTACACTGCGATTTCCGAAACAAGTTTACTTGGTTCTTTCAAAGCGAAGGTAAACCCTATGCTAAAAGATAAAACGTGTTTCGAAAAATGCAGTTATGACTTGTGGTTCTTGATGGAAAAGGAGATCTCTGAAGTCGTAGCTGCCTATTGCGAATGTCCTGGAGGGTGAGTTATGTCAGAGGACACCCTAAAGTGCGTTCCTGAGTTCTTGCACATATTTGCCTAAATAAATAAAATTAAATACCGGTATAAAATTGTATTTACGTATACTGAACAACATGTGTGCGATTATTGAAATCTAGAAGCTTAAAAAAGGAAGGCTGGAAAACCGTGTCTTTGGTGAAAGCTCGTCGGAATATACGGCATATTGAAGTAGTGTAGCTACATTCAGTGAGTATTCATCTAAGTATGCAACACTGTCACAAAGCACAATACTAGTAATAGAAAAGAAGGAAATCAAAAATAAAATAATTTATTGATTTATCATGAAATGAAAGATGTTTTTGAACAAAAAACATGCATGCGTAACTGAAAATGTAATATAACGAGAAGTATTTATCAAATATGTTTGTCCATTCCATAAACATGCAGACATTTGCATAATTAAAACCCAATATAAAACCTAATTTGTAATTAAGGTCTTCACAATAATTAAGTAGAAAATGAATTTAATTTCTAGTATATTTTGTCTGGCATGCGAAAACAAACCAGCTATAATAATACTTGGAAGCTTCTAGATCTCAATAATCGCACACATGCTGTTCAGTATGCGTAAATATAATTTTATACCGGTATTTAATTTAATTTTTTTTTATTCAGGCAAGAACGCAGGAGCGCAAGTCAATGACTGTCTTGATTTTTTGTTTAAACGTCGTGATCATTGCGCATGATCGGCATCTTAACTTAGCAGTAAATAGTTCACATACATTTAAAATGATTTTAATGTGCACTCCATGTATTTATTAAAACAACAAAATCATGTTTCCAATTACAGTCTATGTTTTAGAAATGCAAAATGTTTTTTAATTAATATGCATTTATGATTTATGTTGTTTGCATTGCTTCTACTCAAACCCATGAATTATCCAGTACTGTAGAATACTTTATTTTCACTTGGAATTTATTTTCGCTGAAGGGATGATTCTGTGAAAATAAAATCCAGCGAATGTACATTTTTTCTTTATTTTACATTAATCTCATCAAAAATCAATGAAAATAAATTCTAAGCAAAACGTCCAAAAAGCTTTTTCAGCGAAAATTAATTCCAGTGAAAATAAAGTATTACACAATATTTCACATTAGTTGTATAATTTGATTTGATATAATTCTCAATGTCGAATTCAGTGTGGTATTTCTATTGTCTTTGATTGTTGGTTGTGATTAATGACTTTTTTTCCTATATTGTGATTTCTAGAGCTGATGGTAAGTGTTGCCATGTAGCAGCAACACTCTATGAACTAGAAAAAAAAGTGTCTGATGGGCCTTGTCTGTGGGCAAAACGTCCTATGCAGCATGTTGAACCTGTAGCTGTTAACAATCATAAAACTCAAGTATCGTGGTGAGTTTCCTTTTTGTCACACTAGTTTCATTGAAATTTCATTCCTCTCTGTTATGATTTATCTGCAAAACACCTCTCATTGACCCCTATAAGCTTTGTGTTCAGTTCATGAGAAATCTTATTGCTAAATGCAAAATTTCTGCAGGAATGTAAATTTATAATGAAGTGCATGTCATTTTCATGCATGGCTGCATATCTAGAATAAATTTTCAACTTTTTTCAAACTATACTTGTATATTTTGCTCTATCAGCGTTCTCCACAAGGGGTTTTAGGTGGGCGGCCTGTCCATCAAGTTTTACTGCCGCCTAGTTACTCTCAACACTGGCCCACCAACATACATCCAGCTGAAATTATTTGTAAAAAGCTTGCATTGTTTTTCCCAAGCCTAAACAAAAGAGTAGTTGCCCAACACTTTATTTTGCTATTGTTTCAAGAGTCCAGATATAAACACTGATCACTGGAAGTCTGCAAGTAGTTATCAAGTGTATTCATGGCAATGTGTCAATCGCCTGAATTCATTGTTGCCATTTATTGCTCACAATACACAACTACAGTAATTTCAATTTACACCTGTATTTTTAGTAATTGTCTTCTGATCACGAAAGAAGGAAGTAAATATATATATATATGCGCAGAAAATAAACATAAATATATTAGCAGACTGCATGTAAACTCGAACAAAACTGAAAATTATAGCCTTATCTAGAAAATTAACTCGTATTTCATCGCGAAACAGCATGGAGAAAGCAAACTGATGACCTTTTTGCCTACCCCATTCAGCAACCGTCGGCCTCCCACTGCTTTTGGCGTTGTAACGATTTAGTATCTATGTTGCATGGGGGGAATTTGTGCATTCTGGGTGTTCGTGTACTGAAATTGGAAAGTGGTAAAAACATCAAACATGGCTGCCGGATTACTGTAGAATACATTATTTTAGTTGGAATTAATTTTCGCTGAAAAGGCTTTGTGGGTGTTTTGTTTGGAATTTGTTTTCACTGATTTTTGAAGTTGAATGTAAAATATAATATGGATTTTATTTTCACTGAAGCATTCCTTCAGCAAAAATAAATTGCAAGCGAAAATAAAGTATTTTACAGTAGTTTACCGCAAGTATTTGTGAATGAATACATATTTTACTAGTAGTTATCTTTTCCTTTTCACTTTATCGATTTTTTTTATGTTGAATCTTTCGAGAACATCGCAGATTCTTTAATTAAGCTGATTGATAGCATTTTTTCTTGAATTCCAAAACAACTCCGTGTGAAAACTTAACGTGTCGTAGCTGACCATACAAGTGTAAATGTACCATACCGATCGCCGGCACGGGCGAGTATTGATGCCACACAAAAAAAATGTTATGTTTTTATTTTGACAAATCACTCGTTTTGGCTTCGTGGACAAATCACCTCGTAAATTTTCTACATATAACTCAACTATGTTTTGTACTTGCTCTTCGCATGGAGGTATTTCGCATTTGGATCTTTGTGAGGAAAATACAGTACACATCTCGTGTTTCTGCTTCATACAATATAAATTTATGCAAATAAAATTCACAAATTATGAAGCATCCTGGACAATTTTTTTCAGAAAATTCCCCCATTTCTTAACGAGTATTTAGCTTATTTCTTCTAATAGCTATATTATACTCAATTTCTTGAAAATACTGTACATATTTTTTGTAAGCAATAAAATCTGGATTCTGATTATTATACTTACACGAATATGTGAAACACTCTGCAACTCCTTCTGTTTTATACCTCCATGCTCTGTTTTTTACCTCCATGCTCGAACGCGTTGCATTTTATGAACGCGGTATATTTTGAGAACTTACAAATCACCGATTTCAAACATTGCATAATGCTTGTAAATATTGATATTGACCAATCTGTATTTCTAAAGATTGTAACATGTTTCAATCAAATTAAAAAAAAATACAATAGTGAATAACTTGGTGTGTATTGCAGTTAATGACATAAATGCTAAAATGTTGTATGTAAATGATATGCAAATATGTGCTAATTTGACTGCCCACCAGCTATTGTGGGTTGTGGAGAACACTTTCTATTATGTATTATTGTCACATAATTGTGATTGACTTTTGGTTTGGTATTCAGCTATGAACAGATTGACACAGAGGATAGTGAATTTGATCCGAGACATCCAGATGATAGAGCACCTATTTCACAGTTAGAGCAAGATGAATTCATGAAAGGGCTTGCACAGGTGAGTCAATGTTGAATGATCCAGAGAAATAAAATAAAAAGATTGATAGTGAATTCATTTTTCACTATAAGTAAACAGATTGTCTTTTGTTGATGAGCAAGCAACCAACAGAAATATCGACTGTGCCTCGCACAAAACAATGAAATGCAGTTTGGTGTACATATTAAATAGATGTAAAAATTCTTGGTTTGTGTTTGAAAAAATGCATTCTTATGATCATATTTGCATATCTACTGGGTAAGAATTTAACATAGTGTAGAATACTTTATTTTTGCTATTTTCGCTGAAGGGATGATTCCGTGAAAATAAAATCCTGCGAATATACTTTTTTTCTTATATTTCACATTAAACTCATCAAAAATCAGTGAAAATAAATTCCAAGCAAAACTCCCAAAAAGCTTTTTCAGCGAAAATTAATTCCAGCGAAAATAAAGTATTCCATAGTACTTAACTATCAGAAAACAATGTGAAAAAAAAGTCAGGAGAGACAACAGTAACATTCGTTGTCCAGAACTGTCCCTGGCACAAAAAAAAAACAATGTGAAAAAAAAACTACATAATAATCCTATAGCAAAACATTGTCTTGTTTTTATATTATAGATAGCACCAGAAGCTGCAGTTCTATTACACCTGCCTCCATCTGAGTCAACCACAAATTCAAAGAAAGGCGTTGGTATAGTTACAAGAGTGAAGCAAAAACAAAACAAAAGAACTAAGAGAAGAAAATAATCGAATGAACTTGAAATGAGAGGACGGGAGAGGTTCATAGTTACCACTGGACTGTATTGGGAAGATATGAGCACCGTCTGTAGTTCAATTGCCAACCCATGATGATTTGCAAACCCAATATGGTGGAAATACATTTCTGTCCAATCTTCTTCTCGTTAACACAATTGTATCTCCGTCACAGTCAGCCTTCTGTTTTGTGTTACTACGAACAGCCATTTTCCGCAGCTATTTATTAATTTGACAATTTCATCACGGACTATGTTGTGCTAATAGTATTATTGATATAAAAAGTTGCATGTGATATACTGAAACTAAGAAGAAACAACATTGTGTTTACATATATAGCTCGGAAAGAAACATTGAACACTAATTTCACTCAAAAGGATTTCATAACATCTCCATTTATCTTTTTTCCTGGTTATTTCTGGCTAACTCAACAAAACATTTTATTCAGAGTCGGGTTGTAAAATGATTAAAGTAACTGGGTGACTTGAACATGACTGTTAACCAACATGGACTTGAAATTTGGGTGTGTTCGAATATGCGAGTGCCAGTGGTATGCAAAGCAGCTATGTGCGGTGATGATAAGTTCACGTATAGAACAGTGTGGAGTTTGACTTCTGTCTTATACTATACCACGGCATATACCACATATTTTGGGTTTTTCTATTTGGTTATGGACATCAAAAATATCCATGCACTTGTAATACAAATTATGATAAAATTGTTTAATTTTTTTTAAATTTATTAATACAATTTTAATACAGTTTTTGTATTTGTATTTCTGCCATTCTGTGCGAGTGAATTATGAATAAATAAAATCATAAAATTCAGGTGTTCATTAGCTTTAATTTCAGTTTTAAACCTTGTTTGTCAAAGTATAGTTAAAAAAAGCTTAACAATAGTTGTCATTGGTCAATTCATACTGAGTTTTTTTTTTTGAACTGAAGTCAAATCCCATCCCTTGTACAAATATACCAATGTTTTAGAAGTCTGTCACAGTACAAAAACTATGAACAGACACCGATAATTGAATGGTTTGTTAACCTTTCAATTTGCATCAACTTCACTTTGCTACAAAATCATTGATTAGTCAGCTGATTGGACTTGACCTTGCTTACAGAACCATACTAGTATTTGGTCATATTATCCAAAGTCAGCTTGTGTACATATGTTAATAAAATAAATGCGATCAATTTACTGATATTTACTATTTGGGGCAGCCACAGCTTGAAACAAAGTCTATTTAATTTATTTAGTTACAAGTCATATTTAAGACAGCTGTCCCAAATAGTAAATACCTGTAAATTGATCGCATTTATTTGAATGAATGCAAGCTGACTGTGTTATTATCCATAGATCCTGCGAAAACACCACAGCCACATTTCAACCTTTTTATCAATAAAGTTGCCAAAAAATGCCAGGTTTGAATAAAATAATTGTGATACACGTAATCAGTGATTGGTAAGAATTGTTATTACGGTAATAAAGGTATATCCCCAACGCTATTTTTTACATTTCAAGGTAAGAAATGGGTTGTTGAAATTGACCATTGCATAGATTTCAAGGCAACCATTCCATGGTTCTACTCCAGTTCTTTAGTTTTGCAATAAACAATTTGAAAATGTATATTCCAGGTAATAAATGGTACTTGTTCATTTTTGAGGCTTTGTCGTGTATTATGTTAGTTTCACTGATATCTCAAGAACGATATGTATTTGACTAAAAATGAACACATAGATGCTCTCGGCTAATGCACAGATTTGATTAGGTTTTGGTTTAAATCCATTCAGATTAATTAACCAATTTGCATATTGATTAGTAATTTGTTGGCTTTTCCACTGATATCTCATGTACTAATCATCACAATAAAACTTGGTACATAGATGTCATAGGACAATGCACAGACCTGATAAGTTTTGGGTTAATATCTGTGCATATTAATTACCTAATTTGCATGATTGATAAATTTTTGGCCTTTCCCCTGATAATTCAAGTACTTGTAACATTTCATTGAAACTTGGTACATAAATGTTCTAAGAAAAATCTGCATATTGATCATCCAATTTGCCTAATCAAGTAATAAAATAAAATTTGATACATTGATGGTCTGCACAGATCTTATTAGTTTTACATTAAAATCTGTGCATATTAATTACATGATTTGCATCATAATTAGTTTTCAGCTTTTCAATCAATCTGAAGTACCGTAAAGTCTGTATTAGAAGCCGCATCCCTAATAGAAATCGCACCCAATCTTTTTGTACAATTGAGAACCAAAAATTCATCATTTCTCATATGTGTAGATGCTCTAATATAAGCCACAATTCCTCTGTTGCTTTGTACCAATTTTAATAGAAGCCGCGGCTTCTAATACAGATTTTACAGTACCTATCTGATGCAGATAGATCTTGGTAAATAAATACTCTTAAAACAATCTAATTTGGGTTTTATATATATATCCATAATTACTCAATATGTATAATTTATTTTTTCGACTTTCCATCGATTTTTTCAAGAATTAATTTTTAGTACGTATGTTTCCTGAAACAATACACAGACTTAATTAGTTGGGGGTTTAAATATTTGCATAATAATAACCCATTTCTTTCAGAAACCAATTATTGCAATTCAGTAAGACTTTGTATACGAGTGCCTGAGAACAGTGCAATTCAACAATTAGTTGTGCATTGAAATTCAAGCTTACTAATTGCCAAAATTGCGCATTGTGTATAATCAAATTTCATTGAAATTTGGTTCATAGATGCTCTGAGTTAATCCACAGACATGAAAACATGCATATTATAAGCATAAATATATAGTATTATGAACTTCGATAATGTGGATCACATTATTTTCATGTTGTACATCTCAAATAACAGACAAATACTAATTGCAAGCTTCTTGTTTGGAAGGCTAATTATTATTAGTTTTTAAGACCAGGTCTAGATCCTTGTTGAATAAAATAAGAACTTTGTTTATGTTTGAGCTTAACAGGATTTTAGCAGGTGTGTGCACTGATTAAAGGTTCATTAGTGTGGTGGTTGACTTGTCTGTTTGTTGCCTTTGACAGTTGTTTACTGTGAAATACTAGTACTTTATTTTAGCTGGATTTAATTTTCGCTGAAAAGGCTCTTTGGGCGTTTTATATGGAATTTATTTTCACTGATTTTTGATGAGTTGAATGTGAAATATAGAAAAAGAAGTATATTCGCTGGTTTTTATTTTCACGGAATCATTCCTTCAGCGAAAATAGCGAAAATAAATTCCAAGCGAAAATAAAGTATTCTACAAATTTGAGCATGGGGACTATTATGGTGTCTATTGAGTTAGCAAACAGTATTAACTTTGAAGATTACGGCATGACTTAGCAAACACATGGAAACAAAGCTGACGTTTCTGTAATAGGATTCATATAAACTGCAGGTTCAAAGTCGGTATGAAACATAACAGAAAATGAAAACTTCGTACATAGTATGTTGTTAAAAATTAAAAGAAAGAAATATAACAAAAATATGACATAAACAAAACTGTTATTTCAACCCAAGGAAATCTGAAATTTGGGCAAGTGAGTGAACGAGCGTCCATGCGGTCACACGATTCGCGGTAACTGATCGGAATAATAGTGGTAATAGTTTATTTATATTTCATTTTGTGTACGATTGGAAAACAAAAACGTTCGGAAAGCATGAGGTTAAACGGAATGAATACTGTGTATGTGTCCATTTACAACACAAATTAATCACAAATAACAGCTTGCTATTCAATCTGATTAAAATAAGATCCTGGTTGGCTTAATTTTTTTTTTAATTTTTTTTTATATAATTACTATAATTATTATTTATTTATTTTAATTATTTACTATATTCGTGGCTTTCACGAACAAAACTGTTCTTGCAGCAAAATAATTGTAACGTTAAAAAATAATTAAAATAAATAATAATAATTATAGTAAATAATTAAAATAAATAATAATTATAGTGATTATATAAAAAAAAAATTAAGCCAACCAGGATCTTATTTTAATCAGATTGCTTGCTATTTAGACTTCTTGATCCGGTTATCTATGAAAACAAAAATAAACTTCATGTTGTAACTTGAATCAAAACACCAGCTGGCTGTGGTTTCCCAACGACCTACATTCTGCGTCCAGTTGAGGGACTGCGTTCCAGTTAACGAATTGCAGCGAAAGTGTGCAAAGGATTCTGGGCAATTTAGACTCGATTGACCTCGCGTGTATTGACCTGTCACCTACATAATATGCTAAGTGGTCCATGCATGTGCGTGCGCCGGTATATTACCGGCATCGCAAAACGTGATATCGCAACTGACGAGCTGACGCACAGCATGTTCGGATAGGCAGTAGGATAGCGTATTTTGCCAGAATAAGAAACCTACAAGCCCCGGGATTAGGTAAACATGCATTTGATCAGTTCGATACGTTCTTAGTTCAGTGTGTATTGGTTGTTCCGTGATTGTTGTTGTATGCTAATGAGCATTTTTTTTTTTGCCAATATGACCGGCAGTTAGTACATGTATTTTGTTGTACATGTATTTGTGTTCCATCGGGAAGTGTGTGCATGTTAGTGTTTCTAAATAATTTAACCTTTTATTTCAGCGACTAGATTTATTACACTAAGTGTAATATTAATACAAGCATACGTACAATGCACTCGTGGTTTATTTGTCTGTATAAAGTTCATTTCAAATTCAACCTTGGGTCATAGCACCCGGCTGATTGTGGCGTCAGCATTCTTCTCATTAAGTTACTATGTCCAGAGGCATATATTGCATAATATGTGGGTAGCACATCTGCCATACATACTAGTAATATTCGATGAAATGAGGGGGCGAACCGTTTGGTGAAGCGGGGAGGGGGGTATACGTGTGTGGCTTATAATAATATGCGTATCTGTGTGTTTTAAATGATTGTCACCTACCACTTACAATACCCTAAGTGTAGACTGTATGTGGGAGTTGATTTACGTCAAGGTTGCATTCAGAAAACATTTCAAATATCGGTCAGTTCATTCTGTATCCATGGAACCAAAAAAGTACGTTATAATTTATATTCTTTAGTACGGCGATGACTGTACGTACCTAGGGCACTGTGACAATTCTTCGGTTGTCGAGATGTATATCTAGAACAAACAGTTACAGTATAACAGGACATGTTGTAGGTGAAAAAATAACTAACTTTTTCTGCCACAATTGACGTGCTGAGACTTTGATTGCGCTCTGGCATGTCCATAGAAATAATAAAAAAAAAACGACATCGGTATTGCATTGTAACCCCGTGTTCCGCATTTCAGGTCAGTAAAAATCTGATGTTTTGACATGGAGGAAAGTGCCATCATGCTGCTGTCCAATATGACATCCGTACCGACGACTGTTGAAGCCAGTACTACTAAGCTGACAGACATGACGAACACTACGGCGTTACCCGAATCGTCCATCTCAGTTGAGGTTATCGTAGAACAGGTGCTTATTACTGTGACTATAATTGCCATTCAACTGGGAATGGGATGTGCTACTGATCATTTGGAACTACGTGATAACTTACGACGTCCGTGGGGAGTGGCTGCTGCAATCGTCACGCAATTTTTCTTAATGCCAGTTGTTGCCATGGCTTTTATTTATCTATTCGATCTATCGTATGGGTACGCCATCGGAACTATCATTATGGCGTCAAGTCCCGGTGGAGCACTTTCTAATGTGTTTTCGTATTGGTCTAAGAGTGACGTGTCGTTGAGGTGAGTGTTACGTCATTGGCCTAATCATAGACCCTCTAACATATTTTTAGAGGGTCTATGTCATAATCCATATATTAGGGCGTAGGTGAATGTGCTCGGGTAAATACTTGAATGTATAAAATCAAAACATACTTATTTCTCTAGTTATCACCCTTTAACGAATGGAACTCTGTGTATATGTGAAGACTTCAACGCATGAATAAAATATGTAATATAACAAAATATTTATATCATATGGTTCACGTTGAACAAGCATCTTTGCAAGTAATTATTTTAAAAATGGAACCTATTTGTCATAATCATATGCTTGAATAAAGAACAACACTTTTTTAGTTTCAGACAACATGACGCCCCTTCCAGTTTCAAACATATTTATTTTCGCCGTGAATTATTTGTAAAAATTGAGATACGCCCCTCGTATATAACTGCTGCTTACATATGTATACTCTTCTAAAATTAACAGACATCTATGATTTTCAATTGACCATGAGTTATGTTACGGTTGATATAAATTTATGAATGATTTATAATAACAAGGATATTAGCATTCTGATTGGTGGAGAAACACGAGGTTGGATGATGATACTTTTAGTCATACTACTTTTTGCCTCGTCACTATTGTTTAACACTAATAACAGTCTGTTCTAATGGTTTTTACCCATTCACTAGTGGAAAACTGTTTCAGAACTAGGCTGTTCTCACAGCACTGACTTGAACACAACGTTCCCCTTACTATTTAAAGGGCGGCAGTCGTCGCGCCGCGGCCTGTTCGATATGGGACTCATAGCGACTTATACAACGCGTGTAAAATACATTGTTTATTTAAATGAAATTCGAACACGTGCAGCGCGCGGACCACAGCGCTTTAAAGGGTACGCTTTTTAATCAGGATTCGAACCGAATATTGTCAGATCGACGAGCTATGTGAATGCATGGTTACTCTTGGGAGGTGGTTTGTGGTTGCAACATGTAGTTTACTATGATATATGATACTATTCCTGTAGGTCATTGGCCTATTGTCCTTATACAAGTTACGTAACACGTGTGACACACAACCCGCGATGACGCTGCAGAAAAAAACCTTCCAAATTCGCAGTAAAACTCGATTCTAGCAGGTCCCCAAAGAGGCCATTAATTGTCGGCAGTCACGTGTCCTCGCAGCCGTACTTTAACTATCACCAAATATACTACACTGGAACTTTTCTCGTTTCGATAAGCGAATATTTTGCATGTTTTGTTTTTTAAACAAGCGAGAAATTGTTCCTTGCTTGTTTTAGGAAAGTTTCTTCTTCGCAGCAATCATGCCGACAGGCAGATATTTATTCGCATTTGTTGAATGTATATTAGTCTGCTGTTGGCCTTACTTTTCTTTGTTTACAGTAAACTCATACTAATTACGGTACGTTTCAAATAGGAATTATATATTGTTCTTAGCGACAAGACGACCTTAGTTTGTTGCGGACTTTAACATAATGACACATACCAGAAATTCATCATGCGCATGTGCGATATTTGTGTTGAAAAACATTGATTTTCCCACAATCCTGTGCGCATTTCTGGGAAATACGAGTACGAGTTTTGACCTGGATGCGATGTGCACTAATTGTCACAAAAGAAATTAGTAACGTCTGCGAAACAGTCAAAGTCGCCATCTTTGTTGATATGAGACCCATATCTCGCACATGAGTGGCGCGACGACCATCGCCCTTTAATCTTGAGCCTACAATTGTTTATATTTTGTTCTCTCTTTCTAGTGTGTGTATGACGACATGTTCCTCGGCATTTGCCTTCGTGGCTCTACCCGCTCTGCTGTTACTGTTCAGTGAAATATTCGCAAGTGACGAGCCGATTAAAGTACCATTCAAAAGTGTCGCACTAACATTAACTATGATACTAGTGCCATCCGCACTGGGAGTATTTATTCGATATAAATCATTACGTGTTGCCGACGTCGTTGCTAAGGTAAATAACAAATAATTCTTTAGTTTCTTGTTACAAATGTACGCATTTGCCTTGCCTTGCCCGTAATGATTATAAAGTGGCGAGGTATAGCGTGACCATGTGTGCCGTCGATAATGAAGTCGTTGTCGTTGTCGTTGTTAACCCTGTCCACGATGACTCAACTAATGTTATTAATGTATAATCTAGGCTTACATAATGTTTTATGGCTGTCGTATATATGTTTGAGATACAGGTGAAAACTGTCTCATTTTGGCTTAAAAGTGTGTAATGTAATAAATGTGAGTGGTAACATTTGGTACGGGTGGACTGTGATCAATTTGGGCATACATTATACTGACAATTTAGCTGGGGGAGCTGTTTATATAGGTGATTATCAGTCGTCGACCAACAATTTTTGACTTCTTAAAAACTACCAGCTCAATTGCTTTGATATTTGCATGTGGTTACCTTGGGCGGTCCTCTGCCAGGTTTGTTCCTTTCTTGACAATATTTTCAATTCTCTACTTTTAGCAAATAATTTTGGTAAAAATGCTTTTGGGATTTCTTCTTGAAAACTACCAACTCATTTGTTTTTACACTTGGTAATGATAATAATTGCCATGGCAACAACTATATAAACTACAATGATTGGGATATGATTAGCAAGACCATTGTAGGAACAGTAACCACGACAAATAACTAACATGTCGTCGTACAGAACATATCAACTTTGTTTTAAAAGACGGTCACGTGTTCAATTAATATCAAACTAAGTGATCAAATCCTTTGTTTGCAATGCAACAAGCCTGACACTTTGGTTTTTCTTGACTGAACATATGATAGTAAAATAATACTTTCCAAGTGCAATAACCCATTTTTTATTTTCATATATGTAGTACAAATCAGTTAAAATTGGGGCTTTTATACATGTTGAGGGAAGGTGGTTCATGTCACACTCTATAAGAGACTATTTGATTAATGCAGTACATGTAGTATTAACTGATGAACAGATTAAATAATTTCATCAATAGTGTGAGTTATGACCAAGTATTTATTTATTTATTCATTTTCAGATATGTAGCGTGGCTGGAAGCATTGGAATTATCGCATTCATAATTGTCAAGTTTGTTAATTCTCCAGAAATCATAGCCGCTACGTATGAGCCTTACGTCATTAGCTTGGCTTTGCCGCCAATTGGGTTTTCGATAGGCTTCGGCTTAGCAGCTGTATTAAAACTGATTCCTTATAAACGAAGAGCAGTTGCCATAGAAACCGGCTATCAGAACGTGGGCCTTGCCTTGGCCATATTCACATTGTCATACCAAGACGATCCGGTTATTAACGAAATGCAGGCGATTCCAATATTTTATGCTTTGGCAAGTACAATGTATGCCCTCATCGCTATTGGATTATACAAACTATATTTAAGAAGGAAACAACGTGGAGTTTTTGATGAGAAAGTAGCTTTGCTCATAGAAGAAGACAACTACGATGGGAGAAATGGAATAAAGGATTTGTCCTATGGAAGCACTTCCGATGTGAAAGAAGTCTTTAAAGAACACGAGCCTTGAGAGGAAATACTAGTACTCTATTGGGCCGACATTATTTGCATTAAGACATTGTTTATGCATAAAAACTGGACCAGGGGCCTTTTGTTGCCTTTTAATTTAAAACTTGAAGTTGCATATCTGTGAGCAATCATTGATTCGTAGAAGTAACCCAATTCAGAACTTTATTTATTACGATGGCGACACGAATTTATTGTCCCGAAGTATGCCAATCGATAATTTTATAAATTCTATAAAAATGATTATATTTGTTAAGTGAGGTACAATAAAACAAAACTTTTTACCTTAGTGGATGATGCATTGTTATCGGATAGATGACCTAAATTTGTGTTTGGTGGCAATGTGGTTGTTCGGCTGTTTGCAAATAACTTGTACCTGGATATCTGGTGCAAGATACATACACATACATACACACACACACTCACCCACACACACTCACACACACACACATACATAAATCATGGAGGTATAATCTGTTTTTTACCTCCATGCATACATGTATATATGGCAGAGTGTGGAAGAAGTCTAATATGACAGAACCCCACACCCTCCCCATGGCTTTCGTTGCGTGTGGAAGTTCTTTTCACGAGTGAATGTGGTGTATCCTGCGGCCGTACTATCACGAGCGAAGCGAGAATACAGAATGCATACCACAGAATACACCGCATCTCCCGCATTTGGCTTTTATATGTAATAAATAATTAGTATCCTTAAAATGGTGCACTTCTGAGCTCTCTGAATAAGATGTGATCAGCTAATAGCAGTTCATTCAAATTCAACCTCGGTTGAAGTATACAGATATGTGACGCTGTTTGAACCTTCCATTCTGACGACCGACTCAATTTATTTGACCCCTATTTTTTTGGATATTTTACAATTCTAGCTGAGTGGATATGCACGTCCATAATGACCAATGTAGTGAAATGTGCATACTCTCCGCGTACGTGACTGTTTCATTGTATGTCTCATCTATGTTATTCGCCATGAAAACTTTGATGCATGCTACTTATAACCCTATAGAAACCAAATTAACCTTCCCCTAATATTAGACTCGATAAATGATGGCCCATTCCAATAATATTTATCCCAACACCCACAAATGATACTATACACAAACAAGTGTTGTTCAATTTGGAGAAATCTGTACTACATCGTCATAATCATTCGAATTTAGAATGATTATTAAAGAACCATCAACCTTATTTATGCTAGAAATCAGGGAAGCGATGACAGAAGCAGTTCTCGCAAGAATACAAGTATATTTGAATGCAGAAACAACATAATCGAATTAATGCATTGCAATGCCTTATCGGGTAAGTTAGAGCTGAGTGTGTATAGAATAGCATGTGGAACTTGTTTCCAATTTCATGTTAATGTCTTTACAAATTTGTACCTACTATATTAGGTTGATTTGCAACGTTATTAACATAATCATTGCTTTCAGTGTATACTAAATGAATCTTCATGCAGCATTTATTTAATTTGTACATAGTATCACAAAAATAACGGGCATTTAATGCAAATCTATGTTTGTAGCTGAACATTTCTGCCTTTCAAATATCAATCAAAGCATAGGCAAATTAGCACTGCCTCTAAATAAGCACAAGATATTTTATCAAAAGCTAGTATCTAAACAGCACTATCATCAAATGGGCATTTAATAGCGAGCCTATGCCATAACAGCGCAGATTGTTTTAGTGGCAGCTCAACAACTTTTTCAAATAAGCACAAATCAATGAACATAATCTGCATAACATCCAGTATTAGAAATACCGGACAATGATGTTATTCACTGCAATGAGTCGATGACAATCGCACAGTGACTGTGCTAAGCATGAAAATTGTATTTTGACACACAAGGGAAACTATTTCAATGAATCAATCTATCTACCATTCATAATTCAATGTATATTTCTGCACAATAAAACTGGTGGAGAATAAGAATATCAAATAAAAATTATATTGCTAAAAAATATATTAAACGGGGGCAGTCGTCGTGCCGCGTCGTGTTCGATGTGGGACTCGCAGCGACGTATACAACGCGTGTAAAATACATTGTTTATTTACATGAAATTCGAACACGCGCTGCGCGACGACCACCGCCTTTTAAATGAAGGACAGACAAAATATCCACCATGCACATATTCATATACTAAACTAAATATACTAAAGCGAGATATTTTTGGACACATTTTGAAATTTGTCCAAGTCCAAGTTTGAAATTGATTGGATAAACACATTTAGATAATTATTGCAACCGCAACAATGTTGAGAAAAGGGAGTCGATTGCAACATGGATAATAACATAATTTGATTTTCAAAAAAAAAAAAATCGCCCAGCTTTCGAGACCTGAAGCATAAGAAATCGGTCTTTCCTTGCCGTATTCTGTTACACGATGTATTACTACCTATACAATTGTAGAGTGACGCGTTAACAAGCGATTCTTACTGGTAGCACAGGGTCGTAGTAAGCGAGTGCTTTATTATCAAATGTTATTAACATGTGTTCCTCCAGGAACACATTGTCACATTAACTCGTGATTGCCCATTCACTGTAATTTACTTTGCGCACGATTCCTTTTTTTTCCGATCATTCAAGTTCGGTCACAACTTGCCTTGGTTATAAAAAATTGGCTGGTTTCTTTCCTCAACTACTATTTCAGTTTTAGAGCATGTTATGGTATTTATCTCTGTCAGTTGATCTGGCTGACATATTTAATCTTGTACTAGACCACCAAAAGACCCACCACCAGTTGGATAACGCAAGTTTAGAAGGGGTGGTTTATCTACTACTGTGCAGAAAGTTCATTTAAATCAGTGGAATAGTGGTTCAAACGGGTTATGTTTGAAGATCAGTAGTCACTCTGGACACTCTAGTCACCACATTTTCGTACCATGGACTAACGTTTTGACCTATTAACCCGTGCTAAGAAGCTATGAATGATCCATGCTCTGGATCATACCATAGTAATATTTTCCTTGGGCAATTACGTAATTACCCCCCTCCCCAACCATAGACCTTAAAAGACAATGGTAACTAATAGGACTTATTACTTACAGGATTTCTATATTTAATCGACCAATTTCTATGAAAACAAGCAAATTTTTTGCACGTATTAACAGGTACAACACCTGGGAAATTGGTTATGTGATTGAAATAGATATTCTGCATCTCTATACCATCTTCGCTAGCCAAGGACTAAGTTTATTCGTCCAAGCTTCTAAGGCCTATAGGTCGAATACACGGGACCGTGCGATTCGGACGATGCTCTATACGAGTACAATGTATCTCCATGTCCTAAGTTTAAACAGCGACTCCACAGTCCCAGGATTGCACACATGCGTCATGGGAAATATATTTTGAATGGCTCTCCCATCGTTCACTATGTAAACTTATATAAACGTTCTTCTCTATTCAGTACCTGTACAGATAATGGGTTAGATATATTGAGAATCATCATGATTACTTCTGTCTTGTGATATATTTTTAGGCCAGTCTGCTAGGATACTCATCATAGCGGCGTGTCTTTTCTTGTATGTTTTGATGTGTATAAGATAAAAGAGCAATGCCACCAGCATAGCCCAGGTCTTCTGACGAGAGTCCGGCGAAGGCTTCCATGCTAGGTTTGTTGAATTGTAAATATTCGACATACTCGATGACCCTTGGTAAACGCAGACTGCGTATATTTTAACGCAATTTCTTCTCAGACATAGCGTTAGCGAGAAGTGATATTCCAGACGATCGTTTTAAGAATGTCCATCGTGTCAGCATGTCCACTCTAGAATAAAGAAATCGCCGCTGTATCTTGTTTTATGGAGCGCAAAACCCATTTTCACTGATTTATCGTATATTTTAACGCAATTTCTTCTCAGACATAGCGTTAGCGAGAAGTGATATTCCAGACGATCGTTTTAAGAATGTCCATCGTGTCAGCATGTCCACTCTAGAATAAAGAAATCGCCGCTGTATCTTGTTTTATGGAGCGCAAAACCCATTTTCACTGATTTATTTTAACCACAACTTGGCATATTAAGTTTTTAATTAAAAAAAAAAAGTTATTAAATTCTTTACTGCTACGTTGATTTTGTACATTAATTTCACGACATGTCTTTATTATGTTCGCCGCCCTCTCGGGTTCTCCCAAATCATTCATTCCATGCACACGTGCCAATCAATTTTACTAAACTTGTTGATATAGGTAGAAAATTAGTTTGCCATCTTGCAAAACTACAGTTCCATGCGCATGAGCCCCGCCCGTGACATCGACATCATTAATAAAGAGGAGGGCAAGGGTTATTTTCGTTCAACGTAATTGCAATATTTTTTTGTTCGTACAACGTAAATAGAAAAAATAAATTCCGTAATTCTGTAATCACAGGCTAGACGTACAACGTAATCAATCAAATATTTTTTTCGTACACTATAAAAATGTGTAATTTTTCTTGTACGTACAAAAATTCAAATCCAAATAAAAAAATCGTAAAGAATAATCCAGGTAAATTACATTTTAGAAACTGTAAAACGACTAGATGACACAATTCACTACAAAATTGAATGTCAAGACGTAAAAGGCCCTCTAACCGAATGAAGAGCATAACGAGGGTAATATGCGCATGCGTCTCTTCACACGGCGCAGCAATGGTGTAGAATTTGAGTCGAAGAGCTCTTCGGACCATTCAATGTTCCATTTGTTAACACTGTAAACTGTAAAAACGTCTTTTTTTTCTTCGTAAATTGTGAAAAGCCCATTTTATTTCCCGTAAAACCGTACCAGCTACCCCCTTGCCTTCCCTCAATAAACGTGTAAAATGTTACGAGCAATTGTTTTTTATAACGGGTATTTATCACCAGTCGGCCGTCCTTACTCAAAATAGTGCGAATACGCACTAAAAGGCGACATTTTTTCTTGGAATGTGTTATCGTTCGCCCCCTGATTGTGGTTTCCAATCACCCCAATGTACTTTCACTGAGTGATTGCAGCGAAAGTGCGCAAGGGATTCTGGGTAACGTAAAACTCGATTGACCTTTCCTACATATGCTGAGTTCACTGTGACTGCGCCGGTTACCGGCTTCGCGTACGTGACACCCTAACAGACGAGCTGACACACAGTACGTTCGGATAGCCTGTATGATCGAACTCAAATGATTAAGTCGTTTCACGAACCTCGAATAAGTCGCGATACAAGCTCCGAATAAGTCGCTCTGCAAGCCCCGAATTCGTCGCAGTGAAAGCCTGATTAAGTCGCGGTACAAGCCCGATTAAGTACAAGCCCTGACGCAGGTAAACATTTATTTGTAGTCTCAGTTGTGTCTTGGTTCAGTGTTACTGTGTTCAGTGCTTGTAAGTATTGGTTGTTTTATGCTAATGGTATTTTTTGACAACATCAACCTGACTAAGCTTAGTAATTTGACCATACACCAGAGTGTGAGTGTGCGTGTCAGTGTTTTGAAATCAGTTAACCCTTTATTCCAGCGAAACGGTAGTGTATTGGAACTGTGTCGGCTAGATTTATTATAACGATCGTATAATTAATGCAGGCATGCGTACAATGCACTCTGGTTTATTTGTGTCTGTATAAAGTTCATTTCAACCTTGGGTCATAACAGCCGACTGTGTGTGACGTCAGCATGCATGTCATTTTAATTGGATAGTATATCTAGTACTAGTATATTATACACAGTCCTTATGTCACTATACATGGAGCTGAAAAAATGTCTGAGCTTCGTGCTGTGAGGTGACGGTTGTCAGGGAGATTGCAGGTTCGAATCCCGTACTGTACGGAGTACGTACTGGCCACTTGCCAGGCTCGCGGCTTCCAGTGATGGGAGAATGGCGTTTACTAGTAGTCGAAGGGGGCGTAAAAAATGCACGTTCCGTGTGCTCCTTGTGCACGTAAACCAACTACTGTAAAAGAATATATTTTCGCTGTAAAAATGTTTCACTGAAAAGGCTTCTTGTATGGCATTTAGTTTCGCTGATTTTTGACGAGTTGAATGTAAAATATAGGGAAAAGGGTATATTCGCTTGATTTTATTTTAACTGAAACACCCTTTCAGCGAAACTAGCGAAAATAAAGTATTTTACAGTAACTAAATAAGTCAACTATTCAACCAATCAGTGATCATTCTTCAAGATGGGTATCTATAATAAACAGTTATTTACAAAACATGACATAATTATCTGGTCTGTGTTGCATTTCAGGTCTGTGAGAATCTGGTGTTTGGACATGGAGGAGGGCGCCATCATGCTGCTGTCCAATGTGACATCTATACCACCGACTGGTGGCGCGATTACAGAAGTGACAGACATGACGAACACTACTACGACGTTACCCGAATCATCCAGCTCCATTGTTGTAATCGTGGAACAGGTGCTTATTGTGTTCGCGATAATTGCCATTCACTTGGGGATGGGCGGTGCGACTGACCATTTGGAACTACGTGATAACTTACGACGTCCGTGGGGAGTGGCTGCTGCAATCGCCACGCAATTTTTCTTAATGCCAGCAGTTGCCATGGCTTTAATTTATCTATTCGATCTATCGTATGGGTACGCTATCGGGACTATCATTATGGCGTCAAGTCCCGGTGGGGCACTGTCTAATGTGCTTTCCTATTGGTCTAAGAGTGACGTGTCATTGAGGTGAGTGTTGTTAGTCATTGTCATAATCCATTATTTATTTATTTACTAGTATTATTTATTTTAGGTTTAATAAGTCTAATAAAAATATAATGCTAAAACAACACCAATACTAATACAAGACAACGCCTAAAATTATTTCAAAAATTATAACTTTGTTGCTCCGTCCCAGGTAGGCGCTGACGGAAGTTACAAACTGCGTGCGATGAAGATTTTCAAAACTATGTTTACACTACTGCAGCTACTACCACTAGCACTGTAGGCCAATTATTTTATTTGATGCCACTTGCAATTTATTTACAATTTTTGTACGAGAATCACACCAAGGATAATAAGATCTAAATAAGTACAATTAACATTTGTAAAATAAAGTTTGTCGTAGCATAACACACTTAATTTTCACTTCATGGCAGTTTTATCATCGTCGCCATTTAGATGACACCCAAATACTTTTTAACTGCGACAAAAACCAAACTTTTAACATGTATGTAAAAGCTTTGAATCCTTGTCTGTTCTCATATTTCTTGAGAAAACAATTGACACGCATTCTGTCTTTGTAGTGTGGAAAAGAATGTCAACGTTATTACCTCAAACTTATTATTTCAGCGAGCCTTGTTAATGATTTGAAACGAGTTCTATTACGTATGTTACCAGCTAAATAACACCCAAAACCTGTCCTTTGCAGCTAATTAACTGGGATCTTCAACGTACATTGCAAATAACATAGGCGAAAGAATCCCCCACACTGCGAACTCCATTTGTCACTTTAAAAGACGTAGGCAATTCTGAAGCCACCCGAACGCGAAAAGTGTGACCTCAGTTAGCAGTACAATAAATGAAGTATTCTCTTGTCATGTATTTTTTTTAAACAACTTCCAATGGTTTACCATGCTAAGCTTTTTGATTGTGTTTAAAATTCATTGTCAATTTCGAAATTTTGAAAATTTATTTCCCCTTAAAATAAACTTGTATCTCAATCACAGGAACTGTCACCAGGGAAACAGAGGACTTTTTAATACACACAGTAGATACACACAGTAGCCTCATTATTCGGTACTGAAGACAATTCAAATAACCGTATTATTGTTTTGGGAGCTTTTTTAAAAACTTATTTTTCTCCTGAAAAAGTTACTTATTTCCGGAATTTTGTGATAACAACTCCCTTTTCAAAAAACATCTGTATTCATAGAGGTATATATTTTTTTTTTCGTTATTTTTTCATAAAAAATATAGCATTTTTAAATGCCATAAAATATATTCTCACAGTAAATTAATTATAATTAAATTAATATCTGAATAGGTTTTCCTACACGATATCAAAGTGAACATTTTGAATTTGTAAATTTCATTTATATTAGCCTTCTGTTTTTGACAAATCTGTCTCAATCAATTGTAAGTTAAAGATACCCCCCCCCCGCACACATATAAATAAATTGTACACTTGTACAAACTTATGTACTGTAAAGGGGGTAATTATTCACTGGGTTTTAATTTAGCTTATTTCGCTGACTGGAAAAATGCGCTAAATTAAAACACAGTGAATATGTAAAATTTAGCATAGAACACATTATCTAAATGACGAAACCGTGAATTTAAAACCCACTGAATATGCCCGAAATGGTAAATCAGTGAAATTTAAACCCAGTGAAAATTAGTCATTGTACAGTATTTATTTCCTATTCGTGTTGTTTTAATCTTTAACACATGATGTCCAAATCAAGAGCCGAATGCTATAATTACTATTAAAAATATGCTACTCCTGAAAGGCATTATCTCGAGTTTCGTTTGTTTATTTCCGTCTACGGCCCGTGTTTTCATTTACCGGTATTCATTGCGGTATTCCAACCAGCAGATGCACCGATATACAATAATATCTCTGAAAGAGAGTCCATGCAATGTGTATTCTCTTAGCATTTAATTAACATTCAACCTTTCTATTCCATCCAATGACGTAGAGTACGAGTATCACGTAACTGCGTGAAAGGATTTAGCTATAGGCAGGCTCTAGTCGAAACTATTAGTTTTAGTTTTACTATAAACAAGCGAAATGATTTCGCGAAATATTTGACGTAATTGTGAAATGATAGTGTACACACCTTATTACGCATGCGTATATATTTATTTGGAACATTGATAGCAATTCCCATGTGGGGGATTTTTTCTTATTTTGATAAGCAGATTTTTATTTCGCAGTCAACCGACACCGCACATGTGGTTCATGTACATTAGTCTGCTATTTAGGCATACCTCTGGTTGTTAACAGAAAACTTAGGATTGACACAAATTATGACACATTTCAATAAGGAGCTATGTCTATTTCTTTGTGTATGAATAACTTTGGTTTGTTGTAGTCATCATAATGTATGCATACGGACACATACCAGAAATTTCGACTTACTATGTTATTAATCTCACGCTGAAAGTTTATTTCATTTTTTTATTTTTTTTCCAGTATATGCATGACGACTTGCTCCTCGGCATTTGCCTTCGTGGCTCTACCCGTACTGCTGTTGCTGTTTAGTGAGGTGTTCGCAAGTGACGAGACGATTAAAGTTCCATTCAAAAGCGTCGCAATAACATTAACTATGATATTTGTGCCATCCGCGTTGGGTGTACTGATTCGATATAAATCGTCTCGTATAGGTGACGTCTTTGCTGAGGTAAGGAAATATAATTAGAGTTTCTTGGCAGTTACAACTATTGTCAAAATTTACCTTTTGTGCCAATCTAATATTCCCAGTCGTCGGGCAATACACCGGGGTCCCCCCCCGATTAATCCAATGACGCGATGAGACATGACCTGTCACTGTCTGTGATCTGATTCTCGACTACTAATACTGTTAAAGAGCGACAGTCGTCGTGTCGCGATCTGTTCGATATGGGACTCATAGCGACGTATACAACGCGTGTAAAATATATTGAAGATAATATTTGGTAATCGTAGTCCTAAATAACTATTAAAAATAGCTAAAAAATAGCGTGTAAAATACATTGTTTATTTATATGAAATTCGAACACGCGCTGCGCGACGATCACCGCGCTTTAAGTTCTCGGTTGACGACTGGCTGACTGTGTAACGGCTCTCGTAGTTGTTGTTATACCACCCTCAACGGTATTTGTTATTGTACGCACTTCTCGTTGGAACAGGTTCACCTGGCGCCCTACTAGCCGAGTCGTTACGGCAAAAAACTGGAACTCGCTGTGGTTATAGCCCTAGACGTCACTCGTGCTATACGGGATATATTGGTCGCACACGGAGATTTTTGGACTCAGCTCGGTTATTATATTATTTTGTTTAGTTTATTGAATAATCATTTATATTCAATTCTCTTGCATCGTGAATAAATTAGGCTTAGTGATTAACATTTTTACCTTCAGTAAAATATTAATTTCATTTATTTAATGTTTCAGGTATGCAGCATAGCTGGGTGCATTGGCATTGTCGCATTCGTAATCGTAATGTTTGTTGATTCTCCGGAAATCATAAACGCTTCGTACGAAGCTTACGTCGTCAGTTTGGCTTTGCCGCTGATTGGGTTTTCGATAGGATACTTCTTAGCGACTTTGTTAAAGCAGATCCCGTACAAGCGAAGAGCAGTTGCCATAGAAACCGGTTATCAGAACGTGGGCCTGGCTTTAGCCATATTCACATTGTCGTACCAAGGCGATCCGGTTATTCTCGAAATGCAGACGATTCCAATATTTTATGGTTTGGCGAGTACATTGTATGCCCTTATCACTATTGGTTTATACAAACTGTATTTAAGAAGAAAAGAGCGTGACGTAATTGAAGAGAAAGTAGCTTTACTCGTGGACGACGATAACTACGATGAGACAAGCAGAATAAAAGATTTGTCCTATGGAAGCACTTCCGGGGTAAAAGACGACTTTAAAGAAAGCAGGCCTTGAGAGAAGATAGTGACTCTTTCGAACCTGACACTAATTGCTAAAGACATTACGCATGCGTAGATTTGTGTTACTTATTAATTTGAATTTGCATGTTGTCCGAAACTGAAACGGTTCTATGCACAAGACATTCGCCAAATCATGGAAGTACAATGTATATCAATTCAAGACTTTTGCTATTGTCATGGCAACGCTCGGAACTTGTGAAATAAACAAGTATATCAATCGATTATTTATAAATTATAATATACAAAAATAATTGTATCTGTAAAGTGAAGTACAATGTGTCCGGATTTGGTGTCATTTTTTAGATTTCCTGGCACATTCTAATGTTATGACTGAAAGATCCTTCCAAATGTAAGAAATCTTTACGAAAATGAAAAACAATCACAACAATTACATTTTTCTGCTTGCCTGCCATATTTACCTGGAATTGTCAACAGTTACACTTAACAATATTGTCCAAGCTCGTAACGCGCACGTGTTATGTGGGCACATACCCACATCCCTGCAGATCACATTTATTGTATCTTTATTCTTTGAATTGATTGTCTTTATGAAAACACTTCTCTTTGGACATATTCGTACCATTACATATTAGGCTTACTTTAGGCTTGTGTGGGCACTTGATGCTGACCTCTGGGCTTGGTCGTTTGGCATAGGTCCGAACACAAACATTGTTTTATGTGCATTGTTTTATGTGACGTCTTCAATCGAATAAAGATATGCAGTTTAATATCACCACTACCTTTGTTATCATGGTCATTTTCATTACAACGTAATCAGGGGGATTATGTGTCTTTCGATTTTATGTTTACGCTGGAAATGAACTCGTATTTGCGCGCCTTGCTGCCTCCGGTAACTAGAGGGGGTATTTAAACTATGCTGTTTTTTACCTGTGTGGTGATATTATAAAGTTGTTCCATCGATATTTACTCGTGCGTTCTGAGCAAACATTCTAATTGCAAAAACAAAAAATGAAAGGCATACCTACTGTTTGTTTCTTTCGTTTGAACTGATACTTAAACATTTCACAGTAAATACTTCTTTTGTTTATTAATTCAGAATAAAATAAATATACACTAAAGTGTTAAATAAAAACACAAGTATTTATTTTGGTATAAAACCGTGTTTCTCTTTAAATAATTGAAACTAATTTTCCAAGTTCAAGTTCTAAAAAAAAATGAAAGTTTGTTGTTTCAGACGTTGTACGAGAAAATGTCCGTTTCGTGCCAACACAAGATTGCGCCCTCTATCGGTATCGAACGCATCACAATGCGTCGCCTGACAAGAGGTTGATTTGGTAGTTCGTGTGGGTGGGTTTTTCCCATAAATTTCTCACTCATCATCAGACCTAACACAAAGATTAATTGGACTGAACAAATAACAGTCAGGGCGGGGGTACATGTCGTCAGCATGAAGGTGAAATAGAATTTTACTTTTGCCATTCGCGCATGCTCTTTGCAGGTGTGAATCTTGCGTAGTTTCAATTTGAAAGTTGAATTGTCGCCAATATGTTAATGGGAGCTCTTTAAGTATGGACGTCTACATTGGTAAACTCAGTTATGTTCAACTAATAATAACTTACTGAGAGGTTGATACATGATAGAATGTGTGATAGTTCGATTGTTTCTGATTTAATTATCGACCAAAGTTACTCAAACAAAATGTTTTGGACCATGCCATTTAAAAGGCGGCGACCTTCGCGTCGCGCATGGACGACATATGTGTCTAATATTAAAAAAAGATGGTGACTTTGACTGTTGCGCAAACCAACGAGTACAAACTTTAATTTACCAAGCTTTAATTAGGCAATTTTTGGTGATTGCAAGGTATTGAAGGAGTCATCGGTGGTAATTAGTGCAATTTGTGCTAAGATCAAAACTCGTACTCGTGATTTCCATTAAAAGAGCGCATTGGATCGTGGGAAAATAATGTTTTAATTATGTGCAATAATTGGGCATTTTGGGAGGGGAAGCCTGAGGGGGCTACCCTTGTGCTTTTATTTTTCAAAATTAGTTTCGATCAGATAGTCGCGGTGAACACTGTAAACAAAATGAAAAAAAATATTGAACACCACATTTGGGAACGCAATCATTTTTGAATTTTTTTTATGAAGCAGTATTTGTTTCATATGTAATGCATTTTACATGTCACCGTATTTTATTATGCGTGCACATATGTGTTATACATATACTAGTATTGATATAGATATTGTTAAAACGCCGACCTTATGTCACTACATTCATGACTTAATAATTGTACAAATTCGAAAAACAAATTCGATACAAACAAAAGAACACAATTAGTCGCAAGGTGGGTACTTATACTAACTTCCCGTTTTTCATTCTGTTTATTGCTGTTCTGTTGTATTCTGTAGTTTGTATTGAAATATAATTTTTGTTGTTGTAGCTATTTTTACTTTATGTACCACGACTACCTAGTTTCGGAAGAAAGAAATCGTCACCAACGATGACAGCGAATGCCTCTAAGAAATAAATACATACCAAAGAGTGCCCCATGACAACAGACCTGGCTCTTATTCGCACATTTAATATAATGACTTACATGCGAATTCGACATTACAACCCCATGACATGTTACCCAACCTTAAAGCGGGAGGGATGTCACCTGCGCACGCGTGGGAATTGAGTCCCAAGCGACGAAAACAACACACGATAAAAACGCAAAAGCTAATGGGAAAGACGCTTGTTTGTAAACAATGACACGCTATGGCTATTTAACGCATGCGCAGGTGACGACTACCCCGCTTTAACGTTTTGGCACAATTGCGAGTCGTTTTAAGCGAACACTGCGATAAAAACTTTCCGTTTTTAAACATTTTGAAATTCTTTCGGAGGAAAGTACATTACTTTTACCAAGTAAAATAATATTTATTATAAAGTTCTTGCTACATGTTTTGTAATTTTATTCAGCCAGCTTTCTGTCATTATTCAAGACAAATGAAGTGCAATATGTTTTCTTGTAACAGCCAATCGGTAATAATTATGAAAATTATTATCGGAATACATTTCCTTATGAAATATTCTTAATATATTCCTGAATTCACAGGTCATCAGTTGTCTGATCTCACGTGTTTATTCAGGATGCGATGAACTACACTCTGACTACATACGGGTATATCGATATAATGATATGTTGTTTTAATTTCATGTTCCAATTTATCGGACACATTGTAGATGCCGAATGAAATGTCTGCGAACTAATATCATCTCACACAATGAATGTCTGCAGTCGTATGCAATTATATAATTTCATAAATATTATATTATTACTGAAATTAGCCCTAGGACGAGATGAGCACCGTGATAATCCTCGTTCACGTCATATCCTTATTCAATCCCTGCGCTTGCGCGTTAAGGATAAGGCCTATGTTTTAAGTACTTTTTCAATCAAATTCTGAAAAGATGGTACTTTGGGATATTCACAGAAACAAATCAGTTTAACCAACACATGTCTGATTTGCACGTTTTGTACTGAACCTCTGGGTGGACAGAGTGACTGTTTGATTTAGACCCTGTCCTATACGACAATTGGTTGCAGCAAACAAATAAATCCATCTCAATTCTGATAAGTTGCATTTGACCCGTCCAACCATGGGCTGTACGGGTTTAGAACAAATCAGTGCGTTTAAGGCAGAGATGCAGTTTATTTGGCTTGCTTATTATACAAACTTTGTAAAATTTTATTTTAAATATCCAGAATGCGTTTTTGATTTCGGTTCAAAAATTTGCTTTTTAGGGCAAAAGTGGTTTAAAATATACTAGCTTAAAAACTTCAAGTCCGTTTGTGGGTACTACTATATACTACTAATTCAAATGCGTCCACTTATCTCTCTAACTGCTTTCAAAGTCGCACAGCATGACCATAAAGTTCACTCTTGTTCTGTTTTTGCATAATTTATATACTGTATCTATATTAATTGCGGACTTGTTATTTTTGTTCCACTCGCCGTAATAAACTGCCCGGACGCATATTGAAGGGGTTCACCTTGTCAATAATGTGTGAGACCTGTGATATTTTATAGTGACGGGAGTCGAAGCCAAAAGCCGATTTATAAAAAGCTCGTTTCTGGCCTTGCTCACAGCCTAACATTTAAATTCAAACCATTACTTATGTTACAGCAGTGTGTTTTGGTAAGTAGTAACACATGTAAACAAAAAATAGCCTAGCGTAACAATGCTTTGATCAGTGCGAAGAAGTCAACTGCTTACCTACTAAACACGGGTTAAGAAAACTATTAAACATATTCTTTGTTGAGCTGTCAGTTCACTATAGATACCATCAACACCACAAACCCAATATTTAGAAATTTCAAACTGAAAACGAGAGGTTTTCTATTGATCGATTGGAACAGCACTGGAATACTTTTAAATGACGTCATTATCTACTGCGCAAGTTGGCTGGTCGGTTGAGCTGTCATTGAACTTTATAAATATTGATATAAATCAAGAGAATGGATTTGTCGTATCGATAGTAATGAAATTGTCTTAGAATAACTTTGCAGATCAGTGTAATCATTAAAATCTGAACATCCGACATTTTTTTATTTATTGTTTTTTTGGATCATATATAAACGTAATAGAAGCACGGATTCGATTTGTTAAAAACAAAAACTAAAATGCTGTTACGAATGAAAAGGCTATTACATGTTAACCAGTACGTTTTTAAAGGGCGGCAGTCGTCCTGCCGCGTCCTGTTCGATATGTGACTCATAGCGACGTATACAACGTGTGTAAAATACATTGTTTATTTACATGAAATTCGAACACGCGCTGTGCGACGAAAGCCGCGCTTTAACTTGTGAACTGCAAGGCATGTAAATATATTATTGTCGATTATGTTCACCGTGCAATTCGAAGTAAGATTCTTTTTGTTGTCGGAATATGTCTTTAGCTTTTTCATATATCTGTAAATCGTAATATAACGTCTCCTTGACGTCATTGTCGGCCATTAGTTCATTTTTCATTTCCATTACAGTTTGTGTTTTCGTACTATCAGTTTCATTTGACTGCTGGTATAAGTTATAATTACGCTTCATTCGTCCGCACATTTTATTGAAAGGTAGTCCGTACGCGCCTTCTAACAGTTGCATAGACAGTTCGTATTCTTCCGCCAAGCCTATAACAGCGAACCAACTTGTTAGTTTGTCCAGTGCGTACCAGAGGAGAAGCTTGCGATCTGTGATAGTGGTCAAGTTTTGCAAGATTAGCTTCTCTCGAAACCAACAAGAAAGTGAACCCTTATTTCGACTAGACCATTTATCGTCGTGCAGTTCAGAGTCGATATCAATAAAACTGTCGTAGTGTCTCTGACAAAACCCTGGTTCAAATAATAATTGCCGAAAGAAAAAATTCCCCTGATGTTTAGCCCATTGTTTTAGTGTTACCTCGTTAGCGTTCAGTGCGGAACAGAGCTGATCGGATCGCGCCCTTTTGCAATACTCGTATGATGAGATGATGCGTTCGTAAGGGTCACGCAAAAACGTGAAATATGAACATGACCTGTCTGTGAGATTGAGTTCATCGCAAACACCAAATGAGTAACCACCCATAAATATCCTGGAGTTAGCGTAGCGGTTTCGGCGTACTTCCGACGTGTGGAAACTAACACGGGTCTGGCTTGCCATAACTGGTCCGACGCGTAGAGTCTCCGCACTGGCCAAAACTGAAAGACAGGTTTTAACAGTGGTGCCGGCAGCCTTGTTGTGATGCAAAAATACTAACGACGCAGACTTGTATCTTTCATGTTCGGCGTTCAACGTTCTTGCAATGTATATATAGTAATTTACTAAATACTTCTGACGGATGACCCAGGGGAATTTCTTTTCGACTCCAATTCTCCAATCGACGTGAATTCCTTCTGTCACAGTAGTACTCTTGTTCGTTACGTGTGGATAACGTAATTCTTTCGTCGTAAAATTTTCTCGGCTTGTTTTGTGAAGTACACTGCCTTCATTGGGTTGAGAAAGGCTGAAAGGCAAAACAAGATTGTGTCATTATTTTTTGGATGAAGTTTTCGTGTGTTTGTTATATTATGGGCAATTCATCTTCAATTGACACAGTTAATGCTTAGGTTTTTTGGAATTGAATATCTGCATTCCTCTATTGCTAAGTTATGGTTACTAATTCTAAATCGTGTTAACATTTTCTTCTTTATGAGTGTGAAGTTCATTCAAATATGGCTCAAAGATGTATTCTGTTTTAAATTTAGCATATGTTCTGAGTTTGCCGTTTTCATTGGAAACCATTTTCCTTTCAGTAAGTGTTTTTTTAAAAAAATTATATATGAAGTTTTGTGAATTGTCTCTCAATATTGTATGTATTGCATTTAGCCATTTGTATTGTGTTTGTTCTAGATATATGTGTCGCGCCCTCTCACAACGAAGCCTTTCGCGGTCGGTGATTACGTAACAGGATGAAAGGTCGTTCACAGCTTGGATGTTACAGGATAGGCAGTTGTTCGTCAGTACAAATTATGATGAGGTATATTCTAAATAAAGAATAAAGAACCACTATACAAGAACACTCAGTTGTCGCTTTGAACGGCATTGATTTCAACAACTACGTCATTTCGACGCCACAGAAGCGCTTCGTCGATAGACGGAGGTCTTTCGTGATATGTGAACTTGACTTTTGTTTGTTATTGACACTTTAAATACCAAGAAGCAATGGTTTCCATATTTAATTTGATATTTAAAAAAAAGGGGGGGGGTAAAAGGTCTTATAAGTAAAGGAGTTTAACCCCCAGAGACACTTGGGAGGAGTATCAGCATCAGGTACTTAAACGTAATACTTGCGTCGGGGTAAAACAGATGTGAAAACAAAACTGAGCCAAACGCCATCACTCGCCGAATATTAAACCACAGAGGGACTGTGATTAAACTATTTACGCGCCATAGTCAGTCATATCAGGGAGCTGTAATTACAGCTCCCTGGTCATATATACGTTAGTAACTATTTCACAATAGGTGCTCATAATATGAGGTGACGGCAACTACTGGCAGTGCTCGGATATCATTTTAATAATAAGGGAAGTTTTGAAGATACTAGTTTATATCTACGGGTCACCACCATTGTGCTCGTTATACAGTGGTCTCTATCATCACTTGTACGCCCTACGCGTTTGTTAAAGCGCGGTAGTCGTCGCGCTGCGCATGTTCGACATTTGTGTTCGGCTGATCTGCACTGGCTCGGAAGATGAATTCTGATTGGCTAAAAAAAACAAAAAAACTTGTGGCGTTGAATGCACGTTCATTGTCAGTATTGTTATGCAAATTCAAACTAGCTAATCATTTACAACCTTCCGAGCCAGTGCAGATTAGCCCTTTGTGTTGATACACATTGATTTTCCCACAATCCAATGCGCTCTTCAAATGGAAATCACAAGTACGAGGTTTGACCTGGGCGTAACTTGCACTGATTACCGCCGGTGACTCCTTCGATAACTTCCAATCACATGAAAATTACCTAATTAAAGCTTGGAAACTTGTCAGTTCGTACTCGTTGATCTGCGTCAAAGTCGCCATCTTTGTTTATATGAGACCCATATAACTCGCACATGTGCAGTGCGACGACTACCGCGCTTTAAGAGAACATTGCCCTGTAATTACAAGACGCAATTAACACCAGGTAATATTTTCCAGTGAGAAGACAGAAACGAAATGAATAGGTTGAGTACAACTCAATATTCAGCACGGAACTCTCTCGACAAGCGACCTCAATATACTATTAAATTATTTAGAACTTGAATAAAATTGTTACAAACAGTCATTTACAGAAATATTCAGTAAATTCCATTACTCTATGATGTCTATTTAAAAATCGACCACTGAAATTGTTATCCAATCTGTGTGCAGTTAAAACAATTCAGTAGTTTGTGCAACAATAGTTTAGTTTTGTTTTGTGTGGTTGAAATTTAGTTTTTATTATAACACATCACTCGTTGATACTGTACTGTTATTTGTCAAAACAGGATCACATGTTATCGGCTAAATTACCATAGTAGCGCCAGGGAAATTACTAGTTTCCTAGGGTGACTAGTACATCAACTCGTGCCCGGGGATGACGTCACTCGTCACCTGATCGTGTGATTTCCAATATGTCGTCTGCTAGTTGGGTCGCTGTTATCGATGGTCCGCCTCGAAAGACTGAACGATTTAGCTTCAGTTTAGAAGAAGAACTTGACACACTAGTAGAAAATGAGGATGCACCGAAGACGCAATCAGGTTTTCTAGAAGCGTCTTTATATCGTTTTGTGAAAAAATCGAGACACCGCTAGCAGACGTCGAGAAGAAGACGGCAGACGATCTATGCACGTTCCTAGTATGAACGTGTAATGTGTTATAAAACACATATTGCATGGCCATCAGCGTACTAGTATACGCCTATTTCCCCGAGGGGTTGTGGGGTACCAACAATACCTACTATTTCACGAGGCCGCAGGCCATGCAATATGTACTTAAAGTGGAACCGCTCAATCCCATGGATTGCACCAAAGAATCATGGGACACTATTGTTTGTGTTGTTTACAAAGTTAATCTATCTTCTGTTATCCATTGTTATTTTAATCCAGAAAGTGAATTTGTTGTGAGATTAGGCTTAACTGGAAGGTGCTTCTTTAATAGTTTATAATCAATACATAAACCCTGCAATGTGGCGGAAAATTCATTGAAAACAGAATTTCGAAAAATTAAAATTGAATAACTATTCCTCTGATATTTATACGAATTGTTGCTTAGCAGCCAAGGTATACTTTGCATTTAGCGATAATTGAAACCACCAAAGAACATACGTCGATGATCTGCCACGGCTCTGCTTCAAATTTAACTAACAATGACAATTGTGTTAACAATAACGTTGTTGACAACTTGCAGTAGCACCACGCTCACATCGAAGCACCACTACCGTGATAATAATCAGCTTATTTATGCATACATTTGCTATTATAACACCTAGCAACTATTGCTTGATTACTGGTAATACTGCTATATTTATTTGAAAGTGAGTAACAGGGAATTACTTTCGAAGTACAAATCAAAAACAACAACAAAATACAATATTTGCAACGACTTTGAAATATCTTTTATATAATAAATGATGTTTGCAATACCAATAATTGATAATTAAATTAGGAATTATTACTAATTATACTCTGTTCGTGCAGATTGCATTTCACTTGTCCGCCATTACGGCGCACCTCACCTGGAAACGTTTTTTTTTTTCGTAAACAGGCATTGAGTTTGCCTATTCTTGTCTCGTCTTTTATTGATTCACAAAGAAGACACCATTGAAAACATGTAGTATATTAGCAACACTCAGACTGATTTTTTCCACACCGTATACTTACCTTATTGTTTCGACATTCTGATGAATGTAGGAAAGATCACTGATCATATAAATTGTCGCTATGATTACAGATATAAAATATATAATCTTCCTAGATCGGAATCTAGAACATATAAATCTGAAACAAAGACCGCGAGCCATGGCCGTGTTTTTCGTTGCACAGTGTACTTGTTGTGGTTTGTTTGGTGACAGCAACGCCAGCTAGCTGAAACATTACATATGGAAAATTGAAGTAAGTCTAGTGGTATTCATTCACGTTTGTACGTTTTGAAATTTGATAGGGTCACTTTGCATATTAATTGTAATACCGAGTCACTAACAACACGCCCTGATTTATAAATAGTACATGTATACAAACATATATAATAATGATATATATATATAAACCAGACATGAATATCGGTACCTGTAATGAATTGTTAAGAGTCCTGAACTCGTCTTCAAGACCACGGCCACGTCATTTCTTAAAGGTCAAGCTGACACATTCATCGCGTGCTGATATCGGTTTAGCTTTCTTGACTTTCCAGTTTTTTTATCGCTCGATAACCACGGCTAATAAATCACCTGTTGTTTCACACAAACACCCCGCTCTTTAAAATATTGACGAAGGAGCATGCTTAACGCCTAGCTAGAACGGACTGTATGGAGATACCACGAAGTTTAAAACGCACATTGTAGCCTAGCGCTCACACTCACTATAGTTGCTGCATGGGTTGTATCCGGCTGTATTGTGCGTCGGTCGGTGTTACATGTATACACAGTCCCTCTATCATAGACTGTGATGTATACTAAGAATCTCACGCCGGAGGCTATGACCCGTCTAGTACCCTAATGTCATCGAACAGTGTATATACCTCGTCTGATACATTAATATCATTTTAGAGCCATTTACTGTATACTTGTTATCTTGCTTGCTATATATCATGTACGGGAAGTTCAAAGTTGATAGTTCACATTCATTAGATTAACTATTTATAGAGTAGCTCATTGATGGTGATCGAAATACTAGTATTACACCATAACCACAATAAACAAAATTATACGTTGTGTGCGAATAATGACCAATCTTACCTTCTAGGTTGGATTTGTAGCAGAAAATTATATTTTCTGGCGGGAATTTGACAACAGATCCTTGCAGTCATCGCCTATTGTAACCAACTAAAAATGACTGCGTACGTCAACAATCATGTCTGTTGTACTTATAATAAACTGCGTTGCATTCAAGGCATTCAAGAATCACCATCTTAAAAAAATATACTACCGTATTTGAATGACAGTATACAGGGTCAGAGTGAATACACCGTCGGTTATATTGTCCTCTCACAGCCTTCGCAGACGACAAGTGAGAAGAAGTATGTGGTGATTACGATTTTATGTCGGGCGTGTCACATACTCGTAAGTGCACATAGTGGACGTCCACAGACATGGAGTGATGCGTGACGCGGATCAATCCGCGAGATCTGCAAATTCAAATGAATCATTACATTGAACTGTCTTCCGACAATGAGTGATTACTAATGAGCAGTGAACCGATGTATTTGTCACGATAAATTCCGTCGAAAATCACACCTTCAGAACCGGAGATCCAATGAATTGTGATTTTTTTTGAAGCTGCATTAGGGAATGTATTCAGTAAGTAGAGTCAAACAATAATAATACCGTTCGCAATATGCTAATAGACTCCATTAAACCACAGTCTTCTAATCACCGGCGTTTGCCGCCATTGTTCAGTAGAAATGAGAAGACGACATTAAAATGGATTCTGTTTTGCACGATTCGAGCATAATGTAGATGGCAGCGTTTGACACCGAATTCGAGATAAGCAATTATCTTCGAGATAAGATATAAAAAAATGTTTTTTTTTTTTTTTCAATAAAGGTTAATTCAACAACAGGGTGCAATATGGCTACGATATTTTAATAGTCTTGTAGTCATGGCTAATCCCAGAATCTGATGCAGCGCGAATTATACACAAATCTGCTAATTGTCACTAAAAGACGGACAGCAGTGTCGTCTGCAAAATGTGATTAAAAAAATGTCGTTCTTTATCGTTTACCTTTCTGAGTATGCCGGAGATGTAAATAATTCTTGTGTTGACTCGCTCGTTTTTCATGTTCATCTTTCAAATGTATAAATTAACCATCTTCTAAGGAGCCGATCGTGTGAAATACGTCAGCGCGAACGAAACAGCTGTCACGGTGTGGTGCTCTCATCCACTGTGAGTGACGTCACAAGTATCATGGTGAACTTAATTTATTCAGAATATACCTTACTATTCGTATGTGCATGAGTGTATATTATTCCCAGCGGACTGATAGCCAGATTCTAAAATGGAAAGTATTATCCTGTCATATGTTTTCATATTTTACGCACTCAAATACAAACATGAAGAAAACCCCATGGACGATAATGTAAACACCGGCAGTGTCTCGTAAACATTACCCGTGCTTATGTGTTGAATCTGTAGCTCTGTTTTCATGAGTAGAAAATCCTCCCTTAATATAGACAAAATACATCTCTAATTTATTTATTAAAATAGAGATATGAATAACTCAAAATTGACTTGAATGAGAATTAATTTATTCGTGATTTAAACTATCAAAATAAATACTTAATGAACCTTAGACGTGACACATTTCAATAAAGGTCAAATTGTACAATCTCGTATGCCAAAACGACACTGTTTTTAAATGATAGACCCAGTGGGCTGCCTAGATCCAGTCTAAAGATGTCACGGCGTGATACGATGTTTATAATCGAGGTCATATGCGAATAGGAACGGAGTGATGCGTGCGAGGTTACATTTCGACTCATCCTAATGGACTGATAACACTGGGCTAAAATGGGTCTTTTTAATTGACCTGTAGTCTTCAATAACTCAACAACAAATGTATTATCACTATAAATTATACCATACATTATTAGTATAGTGTATTAAAACTTATTCCTGATTTTTCAAGGACATTATGCATTATTACTAAGATTTCATAAACCCTGGATCTGCATTTACCCATTATTTTCACGATTGAAGACAATTAAACCGTAAAGACGGAAGTTCCTTAGTTAATTGGACCATATACCCTCAGAGTTAGAAATAATTCTAATAGAGTTAGAGGGTCTATGATTGGACTTTGTGCTACACTTGGGCGAAAGGCTGGTCGTCGTTACGCAAAACACCTGGAGATCTCGTTATGAGCGATAGAAGCACGATACTTGTTTTTTGCTGAGTAGAAAGGTCACGCTGTACAATCTTATAACTAATAACGACTCTTTCCTGTTGATTTGAATGTACATACATATGAATATTTTAAAACCATATTTAATTGGAAACGACATTATGTACATGTTAAATAACTCGCCTTTCCATTTTGTGCCAAGCGACAGTTCCGGACATTGAATGTCACTGTTGTCTCTCCTGATTTTTTATGTATGTGCTAGTGCTGACACATAGAGCATTTTTTGTCACAGAAGTCATATTCATGTTTGGGTGGCAATTTTAATTCGGCGTTACCCTGGCGTTAACCAGCCTGAGGCTCGGTCGAACACAAACACCTGAGAACCTTAACCAAGGATCCCCCAAAGTTGCATTCGTTACTGAATGAATCTCGGCCAGTGGAATAGACCTTCCCATTGAGTCTGTGGCACACTCACCCAGGATAGGGGTCGACCCTTTGGTGTTCACCCCCGGGGTTCACCCTAAGCTAGGGTGTGAACTTGGGTCTACCGGCCATTAGCCTGATGCGACAACCACTAGGCTGTGATAGGTATTTTTGATGGTTAAAAACCTTTCACTTAGGTAACCGGGATTCGGTCGTTTCCACGCTAGGCTGACAAAAACGCACACGAGCTCCGTTCATGTTCCCAAACGATTCTCTGCCAAGTCCCTGGTTTTCACCCGAGACAGCATTAAATCACTCTTTATTTCTTGTCACTTTTTAACCAATTACAATCAGTATAAGAGACTCCAAGGCCTTGCCTTCAAACAAACAACCAATCACATGAAAGTTTTACACATCATAATCAATTAATTACTCGTCAAGCTTTCTAGAAAAAACACTACTATATATTGTCAACACTAACTAATATTGATGGGATAATAGTCTCGCACTAACATTCCACAAAGATACCACCTTAGTTAAAATCGCAAACAAAATTGGTTTAGGATTACAGCTACTGTATTGTATCTTAAAAACTGCAGAGTCATAAGATGTTTTTTTTGGTTGATTTCGACCAGCTCGCCGTCTGGTCTTGTCATTAACCTTTATCAGTATATGTCATGGCAACCACTGTCAAACTGACTGAAATATAAATCATGACAAGGCTACCAGTGACCGGTTTCGAGGGTTTTACTAGGTACTGCTTTGTTGATTTCCTAGCTGACGATAACGTGGGAATAACACTGTACGGCATTTAAGAACACTACAAGTTCATGAGCACAAGACAACTATAAAATGTATAGACACTAAATTACAAAACATGCTCGAAATTGGTTAAAGAAATGATCAAACTTTGACATCAAGTAATGATACTAGGTGTGAGTATGGGCGCGGTTACTAGTAACCGTGGTATGGGTGACTCTCTAAAGAGTCAAACTCGGTGTTTAGTGCACATCGTGACCAGGTCAAACACTTACATACATGCTTGCCACTGTAAGAGTGCATTGGATTGTGGATAAATCACCGTTCATCAACACAAGTCTCTCACATGTATGGTGCGACGACCGCCCTTTAAAGCGGGGGAGTCGTCACCTGCGCATGCGGCAGATGGCCATAGCGTGTCTTGGCGTCTGCCCATGCGCCTTTGCGTTTTAATGTGTGTTGTTATCGTCGCTCGGGACTCAATTCCCACGCGTGTGTAGGTGACGACCCTCCTGCTTTAAACACTTTGGAGAAGATTGTTCACATATATTTGCAACTCATTTGGCTGTATATATATATATATATTTTGACCGATATAAGCGCTAGAATTTTAAAACTAGTACATGCGCTTGCTGGCAAACCTATTACCTTTGTTATAATTATCATGCTTGCGAAAAGGGTAGATTTCTGACAAGCCTACTGTTGTTTGTTTTTTAGAAAATTATTAGGTTCGCAACACACTTTGTTGTTGTCTTTGTGGTGAACCTTCTTTTTGCGTATATTTTTGTTCATAAAATTATTAGGCTTTCTAAGCTGGCTTTTTGGCAAGTCCATTGTTATTACACCGGCGCATGTATTTTTTGTACTGTTTGTCCATACATAGATTGGTTTTCTCAGCTCTTGAGGACAAATGCGGATAATCTACCGTCTCCCATTTGTACATGTGGCTGTATATTGACGAGAAGTGCTGCATATCATAATAATAAGCCCGTTAAACAAATATTTTAAACTTCATTTATTATATTTTTTGTAAAAAAGCCTTGATACATATGAGCACATGTAATACATACTAGATAATCATTTGTTTACAGGGAAGTAATACACTACTAGTCGGTATTTTTAATGAGCCATTATTCCGTGACAAAGTATTGTATTTCAAACCCCAGATACATTCACGTCTTTCATTGTGATGTGAATCGTAGATTCGACTGAGGTCCCAGCGAGACATTTATCAGTCAAAGAAGAAACAAATACACGTAGTAGGTTGCTAAACACGATTTGGTGTATTATTAAAACTAATTTAAATGGAACAATTTATTGACCAATGTTACTATAGAAATTATTTATCATGTTTTTGAAAGAATAAATTTAATAGTGAATAGTGCAAATTGGGGCGGACGAATCTTGTGCATGTTGCTAATGATACTTATATGTCAATCAAGGGATAACCATTGTTGAACATTACTGTCCCACGACTGCGTATAAGTAAGCTATATTTTAAGTGCACCCCAAGTGCACACAGTAACAATCAAATATACACTTCATCTTAGCCCCCGAAAGACTAATATTATGTAACATTAGGGTTTTATTTAGGTACGGAGACTTCAAACCTGATATGACACAATTTCAAAAAGTAGATGAAAAGTATACTGTCAAGAAAAATCATAATAATAACGATATATTCTTAGTTTTTCTAACCAAATAGGCCAAGGAGGATTTTCCATTGAGAACAAATAAATAAATAAAGCAAGTTGGTTCAATTTTAATTTCTATTTGATAATGATTGTTGGTAATTTGGCCATTGTCAGATACATAATACAGTAAATGATAGATGAATTTCTGTTTCTATGAAACTAACAAATATGTGAGTATGAAGTTAATTACTGTGACTAAACATAACAATATGTAAATTGCAGTGATTGGTGACATTAATTAGATCATATTTAAATTGACACTAGTTAGAAAGACCTAATTACAGTTAATTAAAGTATCATATTGTATAGTTTTTTGTTTCTGTTATATGAATACTACATTGAATGGACAAACTATTGAGTTACCGATGTTTGTTTTTGAGTTGGAGCCCTGGGATGCGGATGTGTTTGGGTTCATCATAGTTGATACCTTCTATAGAGATGGATGGTCACATTTTTTTCTTGTTTTGATCAGCATGAACAACACATGGCTCTGACATTGTGAAATTATTTTGTTTTGGGGGAGAAAAAAAATTAAAAAAATGATTTTGACAAGATAAGTCAGAAATTTATATTAAGAATAATGTATTTCCAATGCACACATAAATAATTGTCATAATTACCGATTACACGAAAATATTAGAGAAAAGAAGATAATTTGCTATATTTATATTTTTGCGTTTTGTTTGTCTAGAATTATGACTGAAAGAAATTGAATTAAATTACAAACTATGTACACTACATAGTTTGTAATTCAATAACTTTAATAAATAGGATTTTACTAAAAATACTGTATTTTTCTGCATAAAAACGAGAGAATTTCACAATGTCGAAAACGGAAAGTCTTTATCGCAGTGTTACAGTTATTACTGCGATTAATGAAGCTTTGGTAGTCACCAGAAAAAAATACGATTGTCCGACAAAATTGAAAGGTCGTTGGCAGCGTCTGTTTATGGGGAGGGCCTATACATCTTTATTTGTACCAACAAATTCCCAACAATTCTTCGAGGCATTGATGTATGTCATGCTGTTATAAATCCTTTTTCAGAGACAGACTAGAGTTGCAGTACGTGTACTAAATGTCACTGACCCAGATCATAGAGTATGGCAGCACGACTTGCATTCTTCATACTGCTAGTTACTATCATGTCAGATTTATGATAAAATGAATGTATATTTATGTTGCTAAGTAGTTTAGACTAGAAAGTTGCCATGCACTCACGTAAAAGAATTTTGCAAATAGATATGTGATTTATTGTATTTTATGAGAGCTTAACCTTTGAGTGTTGAAATAGTGGTATCAAAGGTTAAGCTCTCATAAAATACCTCCGTCGCAGGTCATTCTACCAACGACGGAGGCTTACTGTTGACAAATGTTTCAGCTGTGTGTGTGAAACGTACATCTATTATCTATACAGGGTCTATTCCATATATGATAAATGTGTATTCTGAATTTCGGCTTTTCAAATCTGACCAACTGTTATTTAAACTTGTCAGCTTTTTTGCAGACGTACCTTAAACTTTATATGTACTTTTGACCGATTCCCCTCAAAATATTACTGCAACTTTAAAATAATCTGCTCTTTTGATAATCTGTTTCGTTATTATCTTGTTGACGAGATGTATACATTCAAAAACTAATGGTTTGATTAATAATGTGAGTAATAACGACAAAAGAGACGACTGTCAAAAGACTTGGAATACAGCAGTCCGCAATTAGATCAAAGCAAGGATCAAAGTGTGAGTTTTCTCGTGCAAAGGACTATGGGAGAATATATATTTGAACTCTGTCGTGTCGAGGACAGGTTGATTGCATCCGTTCGTGCAAAGAACTGTGGTGGAGTCTAATCACGGTGGTACGATCTGAATAGCAATAACAGCCTTATATTCATTTTCATATTAGAGATTCAGTGATGATATTGCGTGCGGTGGGCAATTATCATAAATATATTGATGTCTTGGAAACTATAATGGAGCATACACATCACTAATGAATACGAAACAATGCATTTTTTTTATCGCTGACACGCTAGCAGACATTTTGCTATGATTAACCAGTCACTTTATTTCTAGTACATTCAAAACCATTACACTGATATTGTCATTAATAACTTCGCATAGTTTTTCGATTTACAAAAAAGAAGCTACTTGACAGGACGGTGTTTGATGTGCTTTCTAACAAATTCGTAACCTCTAAAATAGACACATAGTATGGAAACTCAATGAACGCAGTCACGGTTATCTGCGATCTGATCAATTAGAAATGATATAATCACATACTATAGTATCAGTCATCGCGAGATCGACCCACCTATGACCATGTGTTTATTGTAAAAGTCTCAGAGAGTTACAACATTTCTACAAAATATTGTAGAAGAAATTCTAAACTAATTCCCACATGGTTAATAAGGTTCTAATACTCCTCCTCTTCCTCTTCCTCTTCCATCGAGTCGATGCCAACTTCCTCGTAATCCTTCTCCAAAGCTGCCAGATCTTCCCGAGCCTCGGAGAACTCTCCTTCCTCCATACCTTCACCGACATACCAGTGGACGAAAGCACGCTTGGCGTACATCAAGTCGAATTTGTGGTCGAGACGAGCCCAGGCCTCGGCGATGGCTGTGGTGTTGCTCAACATGCAGACGGCGCGTTGTACTTTAGCCAAGTCACCACCGGGAACAACGGTTGGTGGTTGGTAGTTGATACCAACTTTGAAACCGGTTGGACACCAGTCGACGAACTGGATGGTACGTTTGGTTTTAATGGTAGCGATGGCTGCGTTGACGTCTTTTGGTACAACATCACCACGGTACAACATACAGCATGCCATGTACTTGCCATGACGTGGGTCGCATTTCACCATCTGGTTAGCTGGCTCGAAGCAGGCATTGGTGATCTCAGACACGGACAACTGCTCGTGATAGGCCTTCTCAGCGGAGATGACTGGGGCGTATGTAGCCAGAGGGAAGTGGATTCGTGGGTAGGGTACCAGATTGGTCTGGAACTCAGTCAAGTCGACGTTGAGGGCGCCATCAAATCGCAGGGAAGCAGTGATGGAGGAGACGATTTGAGCAATCAAACGGTTGAGGTTGGTGTAGGTTGGACGTTCGATATCTAAATTTCGACGACAAATATCGTAGATTGCTTCGTTGTCGACCATGAAAGCACAATCGGAGTGTTCCAGGGTGGTATGGGTTGTCAAAATAGCGTTATATGGTTCGACGACAGCGGTGGCGATCTGTGGGGCCGGGTAGATGGCAAACTCCAGCTTGGACTTCTTACCATAGTCGACAGACAGACGCTCCATCAACAACGAAGTAAAACCAGAACCAGTGCCACCACCAAAACTGTGGAAGATGAGAAATCCTTGTAGACCGGTACACTGGTCAGCTAGTTTTCGTACTCTGTCCAACACCAGGTCAATGATTTCTTTACCAATGGTGTAGTGGCCACGTGCGTAGTTGTTGGCAGCATCTTCTTTACCAGTGATCAGTTGTTCTGGGTGAAATAATTGACGGTATGTACCTGTACGTACTTCATCTAAAAGAGAACAAAATAAAGAAAATACTGAAAACAATATAAAACAGAAAATGTGGTTCTGAGGTTCGATCCTTCATTTTGTTGTCATCTCATCAATCCTCGGGGGCGGACATCCGGCATTTTCTACCGCCTGGCAACCCTCGGGGTGAAAACAAAGACCAATAACTCGCAGAAAACGGTACTTTGCGATGGTTGATGAGAGTCCCCTGAACAGTGTAACAAGATTAGCCCTACGTGTGTAACATATATGAATTTGGTTGTTCAGGATTACTTCAAAGTTGAGTTTGTGTTGTTTTCTCGAGTTTTCACCGGCTCCACCGACGTTCCACAGCAGCGCGCACAGAGCCCATAGAAATACGTGGTACAGTGGTGCGCGTCTTAGCAACGTAGAACGTCCGTGACGTAGCTCCGCCCCCGAGGATAGCGTCAATTGTATGCTATGATTTTCACGAGTTATTTTTACTAATTAATTAACTAACTAATTTACACATACCCAGCTGCACATACCTATAACCGTTGTTTCCAAATCAACAAACACCGCACGTGGCACGTGTTTCCCAGCTCCAGTCTCACTGAAGAAAGTATTGAAAGAATCGTCACCGCCACCAATGGTCTTGTCGCTTGGCATCTGGCCATCAGGTTGGATACCGTGTTCAAGACAGTACAATTCCCAGCATGCATTGCCGATTTGAACACCAGCTTGGCCGACATGGATTGATATACATTCACGCTGTGAATAAAGCAAGTACAAAATAATGTATTAGAATTCACATCTATGCTGATTAACATAATGACGTCAGAAAGAGACGCAACTTGAACTACGTTTTGTTCCTACAGAACTTTGCGCGATTGTGCATGCGTTGGTAATTATTGGTACGTACTATTAATTAAAGAGAATACTAGAAATTATCAACGTTGTACATATTGCTTCATCAAAGTCTAAACATACATATGTCCTTGTCAAAATAAAACATGGAGCTATCTAAATACTAGTAGTATCAAATCGCTCGACGTCTACAAACTTGGCGTAGAGGGCGCAAATACCCGACGTTGACAATTTACCGATAAGGCCTACTAGTAACAAAATTATGTTTCTGGTCATCGAGCGCACTATAAAAAAAAACCGGCCGATCTTTTCATTTCGCCACTGCATGGCGCCCCCTGTTGACAAGGTGTCAAAATCAGTAACATTTGTGTGCCGTAACATATTTTAGCAAAAAAAAAATTGTAAAAAAAAAAACGTTTGATCAGAAACGTTTTTTGGTGAAAACAAACTTTTTCATTGCAAATTATCTATTAACAGAAACTACGACACAAACCGTTTATCTATTATTGACATTCGCACCCGTTACCATAGTAACAAGTTTGTCTTATATTTAAACAGTGATTGTTATACTGGAACATATGTTCACAGAGAAGATAAGAATAATAATGTTTCTGTTTTATTGCTTAAATATTGATGTATAAACTGAATGTTCGAAAGAATTAAGACTAAACTTTCTCATATATTTAGCACGCAATAGAGGACGCAACACAATAGGTGATTTTCCGTACAATTGCGAGAATATTGCTTCCGAATACCCTCACTTAATCAAAATTGCCTATCATCAAATGTGGACAGCACATTATTAAGCATGGAAATGTCCCCGAAATACTTTCGCGTTTGTCGAATCCCACGCGATGTTTGACGCGACTACGACGCTATGACCTTTGTTTGTCCTGTTTTTACGTTCGATTTCACGCATAACGCGTGATTCTCGCAGTGAACGGAAAATGGTCTATTAAAAATATCATAATAAAAAAACACCTTGTGATTTGTGGGAGTATATAAAGTCAAAGTCCAAGAACAAATGTCACGGTCGGATTGTCAACGCCCAAGTTCAAGTGGTATGATGGTGTTATTCAAACTATAAATCTTAAATATAGTGTAATTTACATACTGGGCGAATTGACATGCTGTCAAAACCTGGCAATGTCCCTAAGTGCCATGTTTTTCAATATTGCCATAACCAGCAATTGTTTTGGCTTTAATTTATTCAAATTCAAGCAATGTGATACTGTTCAATTATTGAGATATATTTATATACAAATAGTGTCCGGATAATTGCTACGGCGCATTGCTTCCAATCATACATTAAAGCGCGGTGCTCGTCGCGCAGCGCGTGTTCGAATTCCATGTAAATAAACAATGTATTTTACACGCGTTGTATACGTCACTATGAGTCCCATATCGAACAGGGCGCGGCACGACGACTGCCGCCCTTTAAGTACTAGTACATAACATTTCAGTTCGTATATTTGGATTACATCTATTCTCAGGTATATGGTAAAACATTACTATACGACATTCAACACTTAAACTTATTATATGCGACGTATTAAACTGATGAAAATTGAAAAGGTGATAGCGTCTACAAACAAAACGCTATCATCAATCACCTGAGTAGGTGAACGACAATGGAGCACGTGGCGGCAGTGAACCAAACTGACAAGAATTCCGAACCGCGAATCATCTCATTAGAAGTTTTAGTCTAATTCCCACAAATATCGCAAAGTTCTATGAAAGGACGCGACTTTAAATGTGTTATGTCTTTTGAGAAAAAAAACAACCCCCCCAAAATGTTGTATATTTATATAATTTGACAATTTCCTGACGAAGATAACTTGTGAACGATTAGAATTATTGTTTTCTATGACCAAAAAGAGGTATATTTTCTAACCGATAACCATTCGATGTCATGTGACTTAGGTATCCGGGTAACCAAAGAATTTCCACGAGGTCAGTATAATCATGGAGGTAATATTCTTATTACCTCCATGGTATAATTATCTGCACTGTCGATATGTTTCTATTGCGCATACCACAGTTTAGTGCTGACTGTAATTTTACTTTTTCGAAATACTCAAATCATTGAGAAATATTCATGTTATAACTTACAAACGAACAACACTCGTGGTGCGGAATGTGTGGCATGTCAAAAATAAAAAAATAACTCACCATTTTTGCTGATATTTGAAAAAAAGTTAAATAGCGTCTAAAAGTGTAGAGAAACTTTAGCGTCAGAAGCCTCACTGAGTGACTGTTATATGGTCTGCTGTGAGCTGGAAACTGGGGGGCAGATTGTGACACCGACAACTAAAGATACCTATAAACCATTAGTGATAACTGAATCGATGTTGATTGGACCAAGATAACAATGGCCAAGATAATAATAAGGTGTGTTTAAATTGACTTTGATAAAGTTCAAAGACAATAGCCGGTATTGGTGATCTTGGTGAAAACAAAACAAACTACTTAGTGTCATGGCATATATTGCTGACTGGGGACTCGGAGAGCTTTGAGACACTGTGACCGAGACTAGGTATAAAACGTCACTCGCTAGTTTCCAAACATCGTTTCTGGTGAGAGATATTTCAATTAAAACAGTTCAAGTTTTAGTGCCCGTGTTCAATAAAACTGATCATAATCTTAGTTACTTAGGAACGAGGCGACTGTTGATCATGTAAATATTTTGTAAAGGAAACATGGCAATGTCAATAATGTGTTTTGTATTCTAAAATAAACTGTGTGGTCGATATGCCAGTTTAATACAGACTTTTTTCAAATTTCCGAATCTTGAACAAGGCGTCTAATCATCTTCGACAGCTATGGTTCGTTTAATCGACCAAAGTGTCAGCTAGCGTTTTAAAGTGCGCCCTCTTTGACAAGTTGACGTCCCAACCCTTTGTTTTATTTTCATTGTGTTTGAGGCGCGCCTTATCAGACCTACGTACGTACACAATCATCGGTAGAATCGCGCACGGGTTCGTGGGGAGTATGTTTACAACGAGTTCGCGAATCCGTACAATTCGGGCTGTAGTGTTCCAGTATGTCAGGATTTTTTGCCATAACAACTTTTCATAGTAATCACGTGCACGAGAGACTGCGGTGAAGTGTAATATAATTTCCATCGCTGAAATCACACAATGCTAATGCATAGGAGGTACTTCCAAATTTGATTTCGGGATTCAAAAAATGAATCTACATTGTACACATTTGGCACGTTTAGACGTTTGAAACAGTAGAATTGTATGTTTGAGACTCGAAATTTGGCAATTTTAGCATATTTCAAATAGTTATTATTTTCAATGTAAACCTGTTCTTGGTACAGTTCAAGCAGCGGGTAATTGATATTCATAGGCAGGATTGGTACAGTGAAATATGTTGCACTGCCAAACTAAGGTCATATTGTAATTTTAAAACCATGCTTGAACCAGAAAGATATCTTTTTGTAGTCACAGAGGCTAAACACAGACATGCTCTAGCACGTATTCGCTGTTCTAGTCATAGATTGCGCATTGAAGAGGGGCGCTATACAGGGTTGGAAATTGATGAAAGAATATGCGAGTTTTGTTTATCTAATTTATCTATTTGTTCACTCTATGCGAAAACAGTTAATTCCTGAGTATTTTTGGCATCTTCCCAATCCAGAAAAATATTACAGTCTAATGCGCTCAATATCAGCAAAGGTACTACGTAATCTTGGTAAATTTCTACATAAAGCATTCAACCTTAGAAGGGGGTTTTCGTTACTATCGGTATAATAATTTTGTTA